TTTTTTTTTCCGTCTCCCTCATCCTTCTTCACTCCTCAACCATCATGGACGATAGCCTGTTGTTTACTGAGCGAGGAGACAACTCCAAAGGCTCGCGGGTGGCCTCAATCCTCGTCTGCAATGGCGTGCTGCTGGCGATTTGCACGCTGGGAGTGGTGGTGCGAGTGTATGTACGAGTACGACTCCTGACGGGACTCGCGTGGGACGATCTATTCTGTATCCTGGGCTGGGTGAGTTGGAGATCGATGCGATGAGGAGGATCAATCTAATAATATCCAGATCTTCACAGTGGTTTTATGCTTCTTCTGCATGCTGAGTATGTTTATATCCTGTTGTCTCTTTTCCTGCTGCGCCTGCATTTCTCACATCTTATCATTGAAATAGTGACTCGGTATGGATACGGCCGCCACATCGGGACAATCACCAAGACATCGACACTCGACACATTCCTGAAATACGACTTTGTCACCGAGCTGACCTACCTGCTCGCTCTGGCCTCGATCAAAGTGTCCTTCTCCCTCTTCTACCTGCGCATCTTCCCCGGCCGGCAGTTCTTCTGGCTCTGTTGGGGGCTGATCGTCCTCGTCGTGGCTGAGACAACCGAGGAGATGTTTGTGGTGATCTTCCAGTGTTCACCCATCAAAAAGGCATGGGACGCCAGCGGCACGGTGCCGGGCCACTGCCTCTCGCTGCTGGCCTTTTATTACATCTCGTTTGGTATCCGTCTGGCCACCGATATCGCCCTCTTCGCGCTTCCCATTCCTCCCCTGCTGAAGCTGCGCGTTAGCGGTGGTAAGCGGGCGGGTTTGCTTTTCATGTTTAGTCTAGGCATATTGTACTTCTCCCCTTCTATCCATCTATCGGCGCTGCTAACCTCTTGCTTAGGGTAACGATGACGAGTGTGGTGCGCGCGACGTATCTGAACAACTTCTCCGACGACCACACCTGGACGCTGGTCAATCCCCTCAACTGGTCTACCGTCGAGGTGTGTGTAGCCATCTTCATCGCCTGCCTGCCCTCCTTCAAGCCGCTGATCGCCCACCACTTCCCCGGCCTGCAACGCCTACTGGGCCTGACCAGTCGCGGCGACTCGACCGCGAAAATGTACGGCGCAACAACGATTACAGACGTTCGGATGACCAACCTGCATCCCAAGACAAGGTCTGGGTCTGAGGAGCGGATCATTGTGACGACAGATGTGTTGGTGAATGAAGAAGACCAGTAATATAGCCTGAATCAGGCATTAATTCATCCATCTTTACTATAGTTATGCTTAATCTGTAACTTGTACTATAACCAGTGGCTTATACTATACTACTCCTAATTTATTAAGTTATAAAAAGTGAACAAGTTAGCAAGTCAATCTGCAGCTTATCTTACTGTATAGGATACAATAAGATACAATAAGATACCGGGTGGAACAAGGTGGCTGTAATCTATACATGGCAATTCCATGTAACTTTGCTACTGCTACTAGTAATGAACTAGATCTAGATCCACTCTTGGCTCTGATGTTTTGTGATAGCAGGGGTCTGTCTGGTGTCTACCTAGTGAGAGATATATCCTTGCTGGACGTAACATAACTAACAGCTATTGTCCCTCTCTTTCTTCCTTGCTATCATCCTCTTCTCTCTCCCTCTCTCTCCCTCTCTCTCTCTCTCTCTCTCTATCCCCCCTCTACCTCCCTCCCTCTCTCTTTCCTGTCATCAACACCAACTCTCAACAAGATGGCTGTCACTTTAGATGAGCTCCCGGCGGGCTACTACCGCAGCAAGAACTTTATTGGTTCAACGGCTGCCGTATGTCTGATGGCCATCAGTCTGTACCTCGGCTATGTCTTGCCAGTGAGTTATACTTCTCTATTTTGAATTTATTAATGAATATCTATTGACAAATCTAGGTCAACAGTCTGACGGCGATCGATGAAGATCTTGGTAAGCCATACAATAGTTCGGTTAGCTCAGGATCACATCACTGATAGGGATTATAGGCCCTGATCCCAACTACACCATGGTCTCAACCGTCTTCACCCTCATTTCCGGTGTCGCCCTCCTCCTCGTCGGCCGTCTGGGTGACATCTTCGGCCGCCGCTACTTCCTCATCGCCGGCCAGGTGTGCGGTCTGATCGGCTCCATCGTCTGCGCGACGGCCAAGAATGTCCCCACCGTTATTGGCGGCAGTGTGCTGTGCGGCCTCGCGGCGGCGGTGCAGCTCACCTTCACCTTTGTGCTCGCCGAGCTGGTGCCCAACAAGACCCGCCCGGCCGTCAACGCCGGTATCTTCGTAACCACCCTGCCCTTTGCGGGCTTTGGTGCCCTCATCGCCGAGGAGCTCATCGCCAACACGGCTCGCTCGTGGCGCTGGAGCTACTATCTCAACATCATCACCTGCTCCCTCTCCACCATCCTCCTGGCCTGCTTCTACTTCCCCCCCGGCTGGGACCAGAAGCACCGTGGCGAGAGCCGCTGGGTGGGCATTAAGAAACTGGACTATGTTGGCTTCACCCTGTATGCCGCCGGTGTTGTCTTGATTCTCTTGGGCCTGTGTAAGTGATTCCTTGCAGTATTCTCTATACTTCTCTTCTAACACCTTTACAGCCTGGGGAGGCACCACCTATACCTGGGACTCGGCTCACGTCGTTGCCGTGCTGGTCATTGGCTTCGTCTCTCTGCTTGCCTTTGCTCTCTATGGTACGTCTATACATCGATGGATAGTCCTTTCTAGTCTCAAAGCTGATTGAAAAAGAAACCTTTGTTTCCATTGAGCAACCCATCCTGCCCCTTTCTCTGCTGCGCAACCCCGGATACACGGCCTGCGTCTGCTCGGCGCTGGTCGGCAACATGGTTTACTTCTCCATGAGGTGAGTTGCATTCCTCCTCTATGAGCTTGGAAGAGGAGTTAACGGTGTCTATCTTAGTATTCTGTGGCCCACTGCTGTCGCTGCCCTGTTCACCACCAATGCCATCCACGCCGGCTGGCTTGCAGTACGTTTTATCCTCCTAAGCTTGTTAATTTTGTATACTAAAAGAATACAGGTCTCCACTGGTCTTGGTGTCCTTATTGGTGAGGTTGCTGGTGGACTGTTGATGAAGCCCATCGGCCACAGCAAGTACCAACTCATCGCCGTCACGACCGGAGTCACTGTCTTCAACGGCGCTCTGGCTGCTCTCAACGAGGATCGTCTGGTCCTCGGCATTGCCGTAAGTCCAAATCCAAATCCTAACCCTAAACCCTAAACCCTAAACCCTAACCTCCCTTCCAGTTCACTGCCCTCGGCGGCTTCTTTGTCGGCTACCTCGAGATCTTGACCATCATCATGTGCCCGCTTTACTGCGCCCCTGAGGATATTGGCCTGGCCAGCGGTTTCCTCGGCTCAGCCAAGCAGATTGCCGGAACAATCGCCAGTAAGTCTTTTCTCCTACCTTATACCATTGATAGTAGCTAACCGATGCAGCTGCCATCTTTGTGGCCATCCTTGATAACCGCCTCGAGTCCTATGCTGTCATCAACGATACCGCTTACTCTGATTCCTTCCGCACCGTCTTCCTCTCCAGCATTGCCTTTGGTGGCTGCGCGATCATCGCGGCTATCTTTTCCATCTCGGTGGACGACAAGCTCGATGGCACCGTCGCCGCCAAGTTGGGCGGCGAGGGATCTGTCGACTTGGTCAGCGACGAAGAGAAGGCTGCTGAACTTGAGAAGGGAAGTGACATTGAGAAGGCAAATGATGCTGACAGTTCCAATTGATTTGCATCAATCGCGCGATACTATATCAAGTGGGACCATGTGGCTCTCCTATATGGGTATTGGTGTATATTACTACTAGAATGCTTCGTGTTTTATTTTCCAGTTACAGCATTAAGACAATTCATCAGTGTTATAGATTATATCTATCAATATTGACATTTAATATAAAGTCATTGACTTTCTGCTTTTCTTGCATAGTCAGCTATTGTAGTCTTCATTAGTACAGTGTAGATCTCCTTAAAGCGCTCCTCGAAAGATTGGGAATGGTCTTGTATATTCGCTTATGATCGAGGGTTAGGAGTTTCCCTGGACTACACCAGATTCAATAGCAGGTCATATTATGACAGCATTCTATCTTACAATCTACTTCGTTGTAGAGGTATTGCTATGGAGTTCCGCTTCGTGGGGATCACCTTGCTGATCTTCCAGAAGGCTATTTGAACTAGACAGCAGAGCATATCAATGCCACCTGCACCCAAATTGGGTGCTTGGAGACAGGCGAATGCAAGTTGAGTAAGGATATAAAACCCTAACCCTAAAAGCTCTATTGATAAATAATTGCTGATCTGTACCTACATAGATCCTTCGCTCAGAGGCGTCGGTGAGGACTGTCTCTATCTTAATGTCTACAGCGATGCATGGTGAGCAAATCTTATACACGAGGCTTAGGGTTGAAGCTCAAGCTTTACATTTCCTTGATTGCAATTTCCAGCGAGTCCTTTTGTGCATATTCTTGAACACTTGATTAGTCAATAGCTAAACAATTAGTAATATAGAATCAGCCTTGGTGATTTTAGGTTGAAATAAGCTATGGTTATTTCCATTTTGATGAGTGCCTAAGATTTAGTAACTATTCATTAGATTAGTGCTGGAAGTAACAGGAAGGGACTCGATATATCAACATTGTAATGGAGATTTTAGATGGTATAGAAATCAGACTATATCTATAATTCGAAAATGCCAATGCTATTTATATTAGTATTCCATATTAATACATCTTCACTTTAGAGTTAATCTTGGATAGAAATCGCCTCGAGGGACCGGAGAGACAGCCTGCAGAGTGGGCATACTGTAGTCACGCTGTGGCGGAGTCAAGAGTAGCTTGTTACTGCAGAGTACGGAGTACATACAGATTGACAACAACTGCGCAGAATGGCCATCATATAAGCAAAAAGAATCAAGAAATACTTACTCTATAATGGCTCACTACAGTAAGGAGTATTTCTTAATCTCATAGTTGCTGTCATCATCAAAAGTTCCGCAATATGATGAGCTTCTCTCTATATTCAGGTTCATGCTTTACAACTTCATGTCAAGAAAGTTAGGTCTTGAATCTACTTCTTCCCTTTCTCTTGATTCTTATATAGAGGTGCACATAATAAAACTCTTACTTTTTATATCTCTTACCTATAATTTCAATAAAGTTGAATATCTATTATTAATATACTGTTAGGCAAAGGGCCCCTATGGCACGCTTAGTCATCATGTACCTAGATGAGTCAGCACGGTATGGCATATCCAGCCGTCTGACACCAGAAATAGGAGATCACTCTTCCTTCTCCTAGCATATACTAACAATATCTCTATTGGCATCAATTCCTTCAGCCTGATTATAGCATTGGCCATATAATGGGATATCTATAATATTCCATGTCCTGGTTCAACATCATGATATTATCATCGTCAGTGTTGATGCTTAAAATAATGTTAGAATCAAAAGATATCCTGAATTCCTGTCTTTAATATAATAGAGCATCACACAATTTCATTATAGCTAACTAATATAGAAAACATAAGGCCTCAATACATTGATAATAAACCATTCTTCCCAGTTCTTATGGTTACTATCTGCCTTGATTATTTTCACGCTGTTTCTTTTGCCTGATAAACTCCTTGAATTTTTCCACCTGAAGCAGATTCCTTCGTGAGTCAGCATCATTGCTCTCCCACCACGCCTTCTCCCAGCCCTGAAGACCTCCAGGGAAAAATTCCACCAAGAACGCTTTCCCGAATCCTTGGTAGACCATTTCCAACTCCATGAGCGTGGTCATCACCTTGGCTTCTGCAAAGATGTTGATCGGAGCGCTTTTTTGGACCGTGTGTGTCTCGCCGGGCTTGGCCACCGATGGTTCTTCCTCGTGGACTATTCCCATGGCCGGTCGAATCGGGATGCCCAGCATATGCGGGTGGCGTGGCGCCCCAGCTACAGTCAGATTATGCATTGTTCCCAACCCGCCCACCGCAAGCAAATACCATGTGTGCGTAGTGATCCCCGTGCTGGTAATGAGTAACAGAAGCCAGAGGACGGCAAAGACGCAGGTCAGCACTTGTGTGGCCCGGTCTGACGCGAGAAGGTCCATCACTCGGTTTGAGTGCCCGCCTTGATGCTCGCGAATCTGGCCCCCAGCCAGATCCTCCAGATCAAGTCCCTCAGGATGTCGCCGGATGATCACCACATGCTGTGACCCATTCCCCAGTTTCAACGCCACGTCTTTATTGGGACATTTCTTCCGGCAGGCCCATTTCTCCTTGCGCCACTGTAGGAGCGCCCCATATAGATACGCCAATATGGTGCCGCCTGCTGTCACCAGGAAGATCCCCCAGTCGCCGTTCAGGATGAATGGAATGATGCTCACCCCTAACTGAATGGCCGTGACGACTAGCCCTAGCCATCAGACCCAGTCATGGCCCGGGTGGCCCGGCATCCGCGGGTGCTTCACGTCGATATCCCAGTCATAGACTGCCACACATAAGGGTGCTTCGTAGCTACTGCGCTTCAACCCATATCCCTCCGGGTATTCCTTGAGGTGATCTTGAATCTCGGGAACAAGAGATACCTCCTCATCCAGGTTGATCAGGATCGGGTGGTGGATGCGGCTCCTGACTTGTGGCGACATCCAATATTCATACGTCTGGAACAGACGCCCAAAGGGTCCACGATCGATTCACACGCCGATAGCCGGACTCGAGATTGATCACCAAGAGATTGGGAAGGGGGCTTTCAGGCATGAGTCAGCCTTCGCTCATGGTCGAGAGGAGGGCAGAGATCGCATACGCGGCCCATCCGAAGGAGAAGGTCACAGGTGTAAGTGTATCTCCGGATACGGCGCCAAGGGCATTTTGAATGATTTCGCCGCCAATAATCAAGAGCACTGTAAAGACGTCAGAGGGCTCTTCCCATTGACGGCGGAGGGCGGCGGCTTCTGAAGGCATGTTATCTGGCTATTGGAGAGTTAAAAGAAAAGGTGATGAAAGATTTCGAGAAGGAGGGGAAAAAGAGGAGAAGGAGAGAGGGAAGGGAAGGGCAAAAGGAATGAAAAGAAGCAAAGAAAGGAGCGGTCCAATCTCAAGGGAAAGAAGAGGAACTACAGGGAATATGTCAGCCTTGTGCAAGGATACTTGCGCTGATTCTCCTAGGATTACATATACCAATCATATCTCAGCCTTGTTAGAGATCATGCAGGAGCCCATGACGGCCTGTTTTCCAGGATATCTATTGTCATTCATCATGCCCTAAAGATGTTTCACGGGTAATATTTGGAGAGTTTCTGCTCAATCAATAGAGCATTCTTATCTTCTATATTCCTCAATGAGTTACCCTTCTTTTCTATATTACCTAATGTAACTGGCTCATTGAGTCTGGAAAGTCAGAAGAGATTAGGCACTGAGGTTATATGGCATAAATAACTAAACTACTTTAATCATCAACGCAAACTTAGTATCAAGATTAGACTAAGTGCTACACACATTAGATAGGTTTCAGACTTTGGCTATAATCAAGGAAATGAGAATAGTCAGTTCAGATACTATGGAAGCAGACGCCAGGAGCTTTTCCGGTCCAGGTCACATCTCATGAGCCCCAGCCTCAAGTAGTAGCCTGCTTTCCCCTACTGCCTGGGACGTCGGCGTCTGACCGTAAGGGTTTGTCGCCTATGTGTTAGCCCAGGTCTCAAGGAACAGCAGTATGAAGTGGCACATTGCCATTGTTGTCAGCTGCCTCTATATCAGCCCCAGAGTCGAGCAATAATCGAGCCACGCCCGCGCGGCGTGAAGTGGAAAGTTGAAATGCTCTCTTTTGCATATATCCTTTGACTATCTCTCCTTCCATCGTCCCTCGTCGACGTTGTCTCTTCGGATGACGAGGCTGAAACTGAGGATCATTAGGCTGAAATTCCTGTAGGCGCCTATCTAACCCTCCTCCCATTGGGCAAGGGCTATTATGAGCTGGACCAGAATAATATGGGTTTGGCAGGATAGAAAGTACTGGTAGCGGCAAATCGAGTGGTAGGATAGGTCTGTCAAATGTAATGGTAGTACTACCAGAAGGAGTTACTTCCACGGTATATACTTTAGCCTAAAAGCTATTTCAGAGAGCTTTCAGCTATATTTCAAGCTATAGAAAATGAGACATGTCGGCTCTGTGCCTCTATGGAATATTATACTCCGTATAGGATATTAGGGTAAAGCAGTTTCCTTGTGATAATTTCACAACCCTATCCACTCGCCAATGTTATAGAGCATATTTAAATTCCTACTGAGATAGATCAATAATATCTATTCCATTCATTGATGGAGTGGTAGCTATAAATATGAATCATATCCTATCAGTTGCGCAAAGTAGATGATCACTCTACATCCTCGGCTTCAATGGGGTTTGTGCAAATAGAAGCCACCCCCCGGCCAAACTGACGGAGATAATCGCCTGCCGCAGCATCTACACAAAAGTCAAGGATCAGCTATTAGAAGAGGGAAAAAAATAGAAGCAACTCACAGCTTTTAACACTGTTAGTACGGTTCAAACCCATATATCTCGGTTTATCGTCTGCCTTTGCTCCGTCCTGGAGCCATTTCAAGATAGCATTGGCATCATCCAGTGTAGGCGACGACAGACGAGACATCAAATTGATCGACGAGCCCAACATATTGATCGAGTCTGTCTCGCCATCCTCGAGCCGTTCTCTAGCCTCGCGTACCTGTTCCAGCTCAGCCTCTAATTCTTCTTTTCTGTTGGTTTTCTCAGTGATCTGATTCTCGAGCTCTGTGATAAACATGTATTAGCCCCCCCACTCACAAAAAATCAAAAAAGCCGAAAGATTAAGCTTCGTGTATAACTTACTGCCAATCTTAACCATGAGGGCGGTAGTAGTAGCCAGTTGAGCGCCGGCAATGATCAGTCCACCGATCTTGCCAAGGATTAGAAATATACATGAAAGATTTTCAAAGCCAACTTACAGCAATGGCCGTTCCGTAAGGGGGAAACGCAGCAGCCAGAGCTCCGACAATAGGAACCAAACCCTCACCAACACTTGTAACAGCCTCAGCAGCGACTTTAGCATTGGCTAGTTCTCTCTCAAGACTGATGAGTTCAGCTTTGATATTCCGGATTTCCTCAGTTAGCTCTCCTTCCCTATTCCTAGCCCATTCGACGAAATCATCGGTTATCTCATTGAGGGAAGAAAGAACGCCGCCCAAGCGAGAGTCGATGGAAATGCTATCTTGGTTGAGTTCTTCGGTCTTGGTGATGGTCGCATTAATTCGGGTGATTCGGTCGGAGACACTTTTGGTGGAATCGTCACAATACAGGATATCTTGATTGTCAAATTCTAAGGCTTGTTAGAGAGATAGAATTCAAGGTAAGCATTGATAAGGCAAGTGTTTTTACTTCTGGAATTAGTGTACATGGTAGTCGATAAACGCTGGCTGTCGTCAATCACACCCTGAAAGGACTAGTCGAGTTAGCCAAGGTATAGAGTAAGGTTAGGGTAGGGGCAAGGCCTCACGCTGTGAATAGTATTGAAGCGACCCTGGAAAGATGTACCGAACGCACGATCTACCTGTGCCAACTTATACTGCAGTCCATCAAAGCGATTCTTCACTCCAATAACTGTTGCTGCCGCTGCCGAGGCAGAGGTAGTCAGAAAAGTTGCCAACTCTGGAGATGATGAAGTTTCAGCAGTGCCTATAGCAAATGAGAGTTTTTGGGCATCACTCTCGAGAGGTAGATGATCGTAATGGTTCTCAATCAGTACACCCAGTTCCTCGTCTGTCAGGCCGCTGCCAGCTTCGAGCACGCCAGTAGCAGTTCGGTTATTCCCGATTAAAGTGTTTAATTTCCCCACAACCTCCTCATAGGAGGGGGGGGCATCGTTCGTGTAAACAGGAGGGGCAGACATTTCCTCAGTTTAAATAACTTTAATTTATTATTGTTGTTTTTATGTTAGATGCTGAATTGATGTTGAGCTAATAGTAGGTTGATGATGAACTGCTCCCCCACCTTTTATATCTACTCCCCCGCCTTTTCTATCTATCACACACACCCTTAAAACATGTTATTTGATGAAGGGCTAGATGATGAAAGAAAAGTCCTAAATAGTGTCATCTACAGTGTAACAGTAGATCTCTGGTGATCATTAGAGGTGAAGAAATTAGAAGCTCAGACTACCCCTACTCCTGTTGTGGCACAATAAAACAGGTATGAAGCTGGTCTATGGAATTTAGAGCCCTAATATAAGCAAGGCATTTCATTCTACAGTAGAAACAGCTTAATCTTTCTTTCATTAATCAAAAATGTCTAGATTAACAAGCACTCTACAAGATTTACTGGGGAAGGAAGACTATCGTCGTCTCATTGACAATCCTTCTCTAGAAAACTATCTATCTGCTGGAGAACATCTTCCCCTCAAGACCCTTTCTGAAAGTCTCCGTCAAACCAAAGCAAAACTTAGTTTGACTTCACAGCAAGAAAAGCGATATGTCGACAGTATATTATACGACGAATACGACCGCATCGCCGAGGAGGCCGCGGCAAACGTTGCGTGGTGGGGAGCTTTTGCCGATATGGCGTTCCACGATCTAACTGATCATCACTACCGGGACCTCCATAATCCAGGGGCCGTGGGTCTGCTCAAAGTAGTATGTATATTACTTACTTCCTCATGATCTTCTGGCTGATCAGGATAGAGAATGGGAGTGGCTCGTGTAAATAGTGGCCCTGCCGCTTTAACTGTTTCTGCTATTGCCAGAGGTATGTGGATCCAGCTCTTTGAAAAAATGATTTCCCTTGGAATATAATAAGAATAACCTTATAGACTTCGATGAAAAGATACTACCAGTGTGTGCCGATGCCTCTCTTTCTACTTCCGAGCGACTTAGAATCCTCAGGAATCATCTTACAGTAAGAAAATCCCAAAGGGAAGGTTGATGATTGCTAACCTACTAAAGGATGCGAATAGATTTCAGTCCATCAGCAACTTATACGGCAATACTTTCGACACACTCCTCGTCGACTTCCTTCACGCCGTCCTGGGACCCACGGCGCAGTCTGACTCTCTTTCTGATGAGATCATTGACGATTCTACAGGTTTAAGCCTGGAGCAATATCTTACGCCGGTTACAATTTCTGGGCCCTCCACTCTTTCAGCCAAGGTTTGCTAAATTGCGATCTTGATATAGCAGTTCCTTGTTGACATTGTTCAGATAAGAGGCCTTCTAGCTGTTGGCACTGAAGAGACTAAAAATGCGGCTCTTGTTCTAAGTGGTATCCAACATACACGGGGACGACTGGGCTTGATGGGCGATGATAACCATGACACATGGCCTCTTGAGGAATGCATACGAGTAGTGTCATATTACTTCACTGAGTGCCGCAAGTACTGGCGCTATACATTAGACGATACCAAGGCGGTTGAGAAATGGCTCATTGATGGTGCTCTTCTAGCGGTAAGCTCACATCTTAGGCCCAGCAGTGCAGCATAATTGAAATTCAATTCTAATCAATGATTAATACAGAACATGCCTGAGGTTCTGTGCTGGCTTATTGAAGAAAATAAACATATATGTGAGTAACAAACCCACTTTGGAATTCGTGACTGATTTTTTAGATTTGGAACTTGCCATGTACCTGTATGGATATTCATTAGGGATCAGGCAGGGTTAGATTAGACTATGCCAGAGTTGAAGGATATGGGAGGTTTAAGGGCGATTGCTATTCATTCAACATGAACAGCTCAACATTTCGGTACTCTAGTAGTCAATTGATTTTCCCTCATTTCTCTATTGGTTGATTTTATAAAGTAATAATGTTACTTATTTAGAATAATTATTGGCAACTCTAGGATTTTGCTGTCATTAGTCTACAGCTGTAAGCACTCTGATGCAAAAGATGTATTGAGGTATGGCAAGACCTAAGCCTGGTCGTATGTAAACGGCTCACCGCTATTTTCTATACCTATAACTAGGAATTCTTACTTAGAGACTTACTAATATCATTACAATAGAATAAATACTAGTGAACATCTGATCTGCTATGCTTTGTGATAGTCTATGTGATACAGCATAAATCATCCAACTGCTATTTTAACCCTGACGTGTACTCAATATTATCAAAGACAGAGCATAACTATTGAATCCAAATATAAAAGTGTAAAGAGACAGTAGAATCAATGTTTCTGGATATAGTATAATCTGATTAAGGTTTACTCAGGACTTTTGATTGGATTATGGAGGGTTCTTAACTCACAATAGTATGGCATTATGTAGCAAGTATATCTACTATGATAAAGTATAACTATCTAAAAAGAGACATAAACTTGTTATTGTTATGTAGTGGAATCTTAATATTGTACTACAATCCCTTATATCTCCCTTGTTTGTGATACACAGAGCAGAATGAAAATGACGCATACTAAAGTATACTCAATCAAGAATATATATTGCTGTCTAACAATGTCTAAAACATGATTATGAACACTCTTATATAATATCTACTATTATTAACATCAACCATGTCTCAACCCCCTAGCTATACAGCAGATAATTCCCCCCCATCTTATGAGGCCCTGGTAAAGCGCTTTGAAGATGCAGTCGGCTCCAACCCAACCCCAGAAAAATACCTCAGCGTTGCTGATACTTTCACGACTGAGGAGATCACTATTCTCGCTGATGGCTCAGAAATTGTCCCCCCCCCGGTTGACAGTGATGAGGAAAAGGCCAAGTTCAAGGCCTCAGCCGCTAGCACGCGGGAAACTGAGATCTTCAAGGCTGTAATGAAGGCTGCTTCTGAGGGGGCTACTGTGGCTGCCTTTAGGCTACGCAGCATGCTTCAGGAAATTCATCTGAAGATCATTGAGCTTGATCGCATTGAACGGTCTGGCTTTGAGCCAGAGATGAGGGGATTTGTCTTGGTACTTTCTTGTGTGTACATTTACCGGATTTATATTGACGTTGGATAGGAGTATGATGCAATTCTCAGGATTATCAGCATTGCAGCGGCAGAAATCAAGGCAGATGGAGGTCGTGAGTTATTTCATTCCTGTTGATTTTGGATCTGGTCGGGCTGAGTTGAATGATTTAGGCTTCGATGTGATGCTGATTCCTGTCTGTCTAAACCCCGATGTCTCTAATACCACGAAGAGAACATTACTACTTCGCTTTATTGCTGTAAGATCAAAACATATCTTAAAGGTTTTATGGATGTTTGACTAGCCAGGACGCCGAAAATCATGAACAAACATCACAGGAAGCTCAAGACCGACTGCGTACTTTAAAAACCAATTTGATCAGCTTTGTGACCCGGTTTGACGATTGGGGGAAAGAGAGGGAAGGCGAACTCGAGCAACAAATACAGGATCTGCAGGAAGAGATTAACCAGCTTCGAGATGAAATTCTGAAAGCTACCAAGGACATTGAAACTCTCCAGGCCATCCAAAAGATCTTTGCCAGCATGTCCCTGTTTGCTCTAATCTTCAGTGGCCCAGTGGCTGCAATTATCGCAGTAATTTATCCCCAGTTCTGAAATCTTACCCTCTCAATGAATTTTCAAAACTAATGTACAGCTCAGATCGGCGGAATGATCGGTGTGGCTGGCACAGCAATCGCCATCGCTGCTAAGAACAAACTAATTGAACATTTGAATCACAACATCCTAGGGAAGGAAGGTGATATTGATAGAGCGCGTGAAAAGATTGTCATCATCCAGAACACACGCGCCGGACTCACCATGTTACGGGACACTAATTTGACCTCTATCTCCGAGGATGTGAATCTGCTGGATAGTTTCTGGAACAGAGCAAAGCAAGACGCATATTCGCTATTGAGATATGTAGATGGCGACACCGAGGTGAGTGGTATACTATTTATATGTGGAACCTTGCCGGCTAACAGGATAGTCTGAATATGTTGAGGATTACTTGGAATTCGGACTCGAAACCTGTATTTTCGCCCTTCTGTTATGACTAGAGCAATGGCGCTGACTTCTACAGATAAGGACCTGGCTGAGTATATTGGGGACTTTGGACGATCCATCACCAACACCATGACAGAGATAGGAATTTAGTTCAAGGGATCTCTGGACGAGTCTAGGCACGTCTTTGCTTCTGCTCATGATTAGATGCCTCTGTGATACAGAGAATGGAGTTTACATTGATTATGGAATAATGTGGCAAAATCATTATATCAAATTATATCCATTATCTTGCCTACCTCTATACATAGCAGGAAGGGTTTCAGTCTAAGTTGTATATAGTACGATGATATATATCTACTTTAAGATAGGGTCAGATTAAAGACAAAAACCTGCACCCTATATAAGAACATACTCTCTATACCCCTAGGTTAAAGCCAAATAGAATAGACTCAATCTACGGCCAAGTATAAAAGAAAAAAACATACAACAGTAGGGATTCGCTGGTGGTCACCCACCCAACTACTAACCTACCGGCGTGTGGCTTGAGTACGGCTGAGCGGACGGGAAGCCCTATTTTCCACACCCTGTGGTCGTATGTGATAGACAACTATAAAAGAAGGATTATATAGATTGCAAAGGTTGATAGAATACTCTTGATCCTGAAGAGGAGATGCCTGTTATGATCACTCACTAGGTAGAACTACAGATATAGCAGTCAGGCAGGAATAAGAGGCGATCAACAACCAAAAGGGATAAATCATTTCCTTCTATAAATAATGTTTATAGAGTGGTAATTTATGTATAATTAAGGACTATCAGGATGATTAAACCATGTATGTGAATCCCAGCACACCAAAGATGACTGATTTCCCCTGGTCAGCGCGGCGGTTTGCCCAGCGGAGCGTGATCATAAGGATAGTGGGAAAGGCAAAAGTGGTGCCACAGCAGGACATGATGGCAATGATGCCAGGGACATACTTGGGGGCATCCTAAAGAGAAGATCAGAATATGAATAGACACCACCAATATTCTCACACAAGCTCTCACCTGCGTGCGGAAAATGAGGGTGGCAAAAATACCGCCGATGCCGCCAAACACGATCAGGATGGCACTGTAGATGGAGCGTCGGGCATCGCCATGGATGTTATTCGCTTGCCAGGCCAAAACACTTGTTAGAAGAGCGCTGACGCCGATCTCTCCCAAGAAGACTCCAAAATATCTAAACAGTCAGTATATCTCAGTTTGACCCTAAGAAAGGAGAAATTCTTGAAGAAATGCTGGATGAATGCTTAATCTTACCTGGGGATCGGGTAGGTTGAAAAGCCGGTCTTGGATTAGCCGATGATGCCTACGATAGTGAGAATGGAGACAAAGGATCCATGGACTTGCCGGTGGTCTTTTAGCACAGCAGGGATCACGGATACAAGGGCAGGAAGAGGGCAAACACATAGGATCCCATGGCGCCAGTCATATACATAAAGGCAAAGATAAACGTCTTGGGATCCAACGCAGCCTCAAGTATCCTGGATGCAGTGACGGGTTCAATGTGCTGAGCAGTGCTGCGGTCAGCTTACAGGCAATGAAGAACCAGCGCAGCCTCATCTGCCGTCAAGAAGGTGTTGCGCGAAGAGCCAGGGAAATCAATCAGGACAAAAGGGATGATTAGGCTAATGTCGGCGGTAATGGCGTCCTGGACGATATAGATCCAACGCCAGCCACCTGTTACCGGGTCCTTGGCGATATGAATGAGTCCCATCCAGCGCGCAGGGCCAACCTGGAACACCAATATGGCATTAAAGAGAAGAACAGAAGAATAAAATAAGAAGAGAAGAAGAAGAAGAAGAAGAAGAAGCATAGGTTTAAATGCATGTCACTATATTTTTCGCCATTCTAGCTGCCTCCGCTGCCTCAGGCATCGCCGCCGCGACACGAGCTGTCAGCGGGATTGCAGGAGCATGAATGATCGCCCTCATCTCTGTGATCATCACTGGTAAGTCTATCGCTACAGATCCGATTACTCCTGCGAATCTTCAGATCTCGTCCCCCTCCGTGAAGTCGCTGGCCGGAGAGGACTTGCACACTGCCGCCTAGTTTGCTGTAATCCCTTCTCCTTGTATGTTTTTTCGAACTGTCTGTCCCTCTTTTTTTATTTCTTTTTAAATCAACTCCACAAGTTTCTCGATCCTCAAGTGGGTCTGTCTACCCTGTCCTGGATCAGACTAACCAACCTCAGCTTTTATGCGCATGATGTGTACTAGTATTATAGGATATGGTAACTAATACTAGCTATCTATCAACTCTATCCTACTAGGAGTTGGGGTAAAATTAACCCTCACAATAAGCCCCAGGGAAAGATTCGGGCTTAGATGGAGACAAGCCTCGGATTTTGAGGACAACCAGGAAAAAATCCCTGATCGAGCTCGGACTGTGAAGCAGACTCCGATCTTCAGTCCGGTCCAAATCCGATGGATTTCGGAATTGAAGTCCGCTTCACCCCCAAACCAATGAGCACTGAAGTTGAATTAAATAAGAGAATATAACTCTATGATTCTTTCATAATTATCCTAGCCATCACAGTGTCTCATCAGCACCACAAGTGCTTGTCCTGCCATGGCCGAGACAAATGCAAACCAGCCGCTAGAAACTCAAGACGGCGCCGAAATGAGCGCTTCCAGTGATGATGGAGAGCCCAAGCACGAATATCCTTCGGGCCTGGCAGTGGCCTTTATCCTCATCTCAGTCACGCTGGCTTATTTCCTATTCTTCCTTGATCTTGCTGTCATTTCCACCGCCAGTCCGTCCATTACCTCCCAGTTCAACTCCTTGGTGGACGTCGGTTGGTAAGTCATTATCTTTTGTCTGGATTGAACCGGTTCATCTGTGAGATGCTGATCCATTCCTCTAGGTATGGTGGTGGTTACCAGCTCGGAAGTGCAGCCTTGCAGCCGTTGAGCGGCAAGATCTACAGTCGGTTCTCTATCAAGGTATGTCTTGATTCATGTCATGGATCATGCCAAGTCAATGCTGACAAGCTCAAATATAGTGGACCTTTTTTGTCTTCTTCCTCATCTTTGAAGTCGGATCTGCCATTTGCGGAGCAGCTCAGTCGTCGGCCATGTTCATCGCCGGCCGTGTTATTGCGGGCATGGGTTCTGCTGGAGTGGCCAACGGCGCAGTGACTACCATTTCTGCCATCCTCCCAGTGCAAAAACAGGCGCTTTTCATGGGACTCAACATGGGCATGGGCCAGCTGGGCCTTGCTACGGGGCCTATCATTGGAGGCGCTTTTACCACGAATGTGTCCTGGCGGTGGTGTACGTTATTCCATTATTCCATTGGAAACCTCCAATACACTGACATTCCTCTTGTTAGGCTTTTATATCAACCTCCCCCTAGGCGCTGCTGTTGGCGCATTTCTTCTCTTCAATACAATTCCCGAACCGAAACCAAAGGATCCGCCTCTGCAGATTCTTCGCTCTGTCATCAAGGAGCTCGATCTCATTGGATTCCTGCTTGTTTGCCCGGCGGTGGTGATGTTCCTCTTGGGTCTCCAGTTTGGCGGCAACGAGTATGCCTGGGACAGTCCGGTTGTCATCGGCTTGATCATCGGCGGTGCTGCTACCTTTGCTGTGTTCCTTGTCTGGGAATGGCGCCAGGGAGACGATGCGATGGTGCCACTTGCCATGCTCAAACACCGAGTGATTTGGTCGGCTGCAGCGACAATGTTCTTCAGCCTGTCCAGTGTTCTTGTGGCCGATTTCTACATTGCCATCTATTTCCAGTCAATTGGCGATGACACGCCCCTGATGAGTGGTGTTCATATGCTGCCAATCACCCTCGGTATTGTTCTCTTTACCATGGTCTCGGGCACCCTAAGTAAGTGTCTTCTGCCATTAACCTTGGCCGTAAAGTGCTTTGTCCATTGACCTTCACTGACACTGAACAGTTTCTGTTTTGGGCTACTATCTCCCATTTCTTCTTGCCGGCGGTGCCATATCATCGATTGGCTACGGACTCTTATCGAAATTGAGCCCTACGACTCCGACTGCAACATGGATTGGGTATCAAGTTCTGTACGGTGTCGGAAGCGGGTGTACAACTGCGGCAGTAAGTTCAATCTTCTTGTCAAACAATAAGCGCATTAGCTGATATGCCTCTTCCATTTAGCCCTACATCGCCATACAAAGCCTCGTGGCTCCAGAGCAGATTTCCCTTGCCATGGGCATTATCATCTTCTGGCAAAATATCGGTGGTGCCACTTCTCTGATCGCTGCCAACGCCATTTTCGATAACAGCCTTCGTTCAGAGCTTGAAAAACGCGCGGCGGAAATCAGCCTCTCTCCAGACACCATCATCAATGCTGGAGTCCGCTCCATCCGTTCACTGGTGTCTGGCTCCGAACTAACAGCTGTACTCGCCGCATACGCCAAAAGCGTCGACAAAGTCATGTACCTGGGCATTGCTGTCAGTCTCACCGTCATCGTGGTTTCTCCGGGACTTGGATGGAGGGACATTCGGAAGGTCAAGGCCCAGGAGCTTCAGGTACTCTCTAGCAAGTCTCCTAACAGGGTCGAGAAGATTCTGCAGTGACTGGCGAGAATTAGCGTTGAGTGATAAACTTGGAAAGGCTTTCATTCTGTTTATATCATCTACGGCTGATGCGGCTGCATGTTTACCGCTATAGTAGTTCTTTTTTATTCCTTTTAACTTCTATGCTACTTTTAGCAGTCAACTGGTTATTCAACTAGTTCTTTATAGAAAATTACCCTCATGTACCTATAGTAGCATTCCTTCATTTAGACAGTTTATATAATACTCGATATTTTCACTGATCATACCTAAGAGAAAGATAATGGCTTTATACTGAAGTCTGTCAGAAATCGCAGTAAAAGGGTATATTACAAAAGCTATATAATCGATCCATATGCTTCAATCTCTCCCTAAATAGAAGAGTGTCCCTTTCACCAAGCTAAAGCGTCACGACAAGTTTCTTTCCCGAGACACCCTTTCTCTGGAGATGGAGAGCGTCTTGAATCTTGGCCAGCCCTTTGCCCACAACATGCGGAGGAGGAGCTGGGACAAACTGGCCCTGCTCGAGTGCCTGCGGCAGGAAATCCTCGTAGACATGGGAGACGACGCTATCAGGGTCAACTAAGCCGTTGACAAAAATGAATTTGGCCTCAACACCGGTCCTCATGCGCGTCCCGGTCGATTTGATCATGCCGCCCATCATGCTCATCAGGTATGTGCCCTTGCCAACAAATGTTGTAAGCTTCCCGGGAGGTATGATGACTCCGGCCACGGCGATGAATTTGCGGGTGAAGCTGGGATCGTGTTTCTTCATCACCGCGGTGCATGCCTTGACAGCACCATCGCCAATGGTGTAGGCACCGACCAGCTCGTGGTCTTTCAGTGCATCAAGGAGGTCTTTGGCTAACGTTTTGCTCTTGTAGTCAAAAACGTGGGTGGCCCCCAGACCCTTGACATAGTCAAAGTTCCTAGGCGACGATGTAGACAAGACTTGATAGCTAGCGGCCACAGCAAGCTGTACGGCATTGCTCCCAACACTTGAAGCGCCGCCGGTGACGATGACAGCACGCGGCTTGCCTGACTTGCCCACGACTTTGGTGGGGGCTGGGATCTTAGGCATGTCGAGAGCCAGATAGTTGGGGTGGAAGAGGCCGTACGCCGCAGTCCCGAGACCCAGTCCCAGGACACAAGCCTCTTCATAAGTGATGTTGGGTGGAATGGGTGTCAACATGTTCTGTCGCATTACTGTATAGAGCTGGAAAGCCCCCTCGGCCGGGCGATTGACCTCTTTCGCAATGGCCGCAGCACTTCCACAGACCCGGTCACCCACTTGAAACCTATCCACATCGGGGCCGACCTCAACGACTTCACCAGCAACATCGGTGCTAAAGATGAAGGGATAGTTGATGTAACCAGCAACCGCTGGGCCAGTATAAGAACCGAGGCAGGTCTTGATGAATAATAAGTGAGGCCGCCAAAGATGGGGCATAAGCATTTTCCAGCCTACATTTCCTCAGAGTAGAAGGATCTATACCGGAAGGATCTAAATCCCAGAAATTTGTATCAGAGATCTGGCACTGGGAACCCTAAGTGCATAACTTTTTATTAATAGATCTATTTTAAGATTAGAATAGCTGAGTGCCAGACTCAAATTAATCATTCTACGATCTCTACTTCAACAAATGGGGACCATGAATGATTAAGACCTGATATATCAACTTATACTACACCAGAAACACCAGAGTCATTGCTTTATGGCGTCTTCGACGGGGAAAAGACTTTGGCCGCAGCTCATATTTGCGTGCAAGGAATGCCGCAGACGCAAAGCATGATGTGACAGAGCATAATTAAGGTGTAGCTTCTATGCTAAGAATAGCATGGAGTACATCATGATAGAAAAGCAACAGTAAAGGGGTCCTATAAAAGGCAAGCTTAACTTAATATAGTCAGAACTTGGTTCATTGAATCCTATTTGTTTTATAGTCCCTTTCCCCAAGATCTGTTTCTATAAGTAGTTGAGTATAGATCCAATCCTACCCCATGTTTTCAATCTTTCATTGTCATGATGCTTCCTTGCCATGCGGCCTATGGGCTTGTTCCTATTGCATGTTCATCTGATTTTTCCCATTCACCCTTTTGGGAACCTTTGAGCAGATTAATAAGATAGGATTTATTCTACAAAGCATCCCTGCAATGCCATCTTGGATAATATCTTTAGCCTTAACCTGCCCTGTTTATGATCTATCTGTCACAGCTGCAAGACCCGTAGGAACATTAACATGGAGCTCAAAGATCAAGATAATAGATCCTATCTGGGCCAAACTGTACAAGCACTCCAAGCCTCCCTAACGGTCTCTTGAGCTTGTTGACAGCCCCATGTAAAAATCAACTGTCTTTCGACAGAGTACACGCGATATGTCCCATCATATATCGCCGGTGATACTTCGCATTAGTGATACAGAATAATCATACACCTGCTCAATCATGTTTCCGTTTGGCTATGCAAACCCTTGCTGCAGCAATTTCTGCCCATTGGTGTCATCTCATCGAACAGCTCTATTCTGAGAAATGTAGTCTACTCGAAACCAAGAGCTAGATCTTAGCTAACCCTAGGGACAAGCTCCAGCTTGAGTAAATCTATATCTGGTTGCTTCTGAGCCATTACGAGATCCTACGAGTAGGTATCTACCAGGCCATGCTAACGGCTAGTCGTGCTTTTCGCGTCCAGATGGCTCGTCTCTCTTACATTGATACCACAGGTGGCCATTTACCAGCGTCTAATCTGGTTTTCTCTTCTTCCTTGTCGTCTTCAGCATTATCTTCCTCGCCTTCGCACCTTTTAGCTTGCTGCCTTGCTTGTCTGCGTCCCTCGGCACCGAATCTAGTGAGACTTTTGTTGACGCCGAAGAAAGGAGGCAAGCATTTTGGCTGACATTACTTATAAAATGATTGGCCTCTAACACTTTAAGAAGAAATAGTATATTGCTGCTTTCAAAAATCCTTTGCTACACACCTTAATCATATAAGCTTAGCTAATAATTCCATTTAATGGATTTCTTTATATAGTGCACTTCTAATCAGCAGGTCCTGGCAGCAACACACTAGAGTCACGCTGCATAGGCAGCTTCTAAATTTATATATCTAGCTAAGGTAGTATAGTACTCAGCCCCTTGAAAGCTCACCCTTTATTGCCTGATAGTTTGGCGTGTGCGGCCACCTTTCTCTCTACACATGCCGGACGCCATGGTGGCGACTATGATGGCGTCCAGGATCTGCTCTAAGCATTAGTAGAGTTGAAGATACCCACAGTCTTATGTGAGATTCCATACTGACCTTAACAATACAATAATAAAAGGGGACCTTGTATAGAACCTACTATATTTGTTTTAATAGACATCTCAGGTTTTAAATCTGCTTCTTTTAATCTTCCTGTGAATGTCAAATGGTTTGATTATTTGGCAAGAGTTTTAATAGTGTTGATGATATTATGATAACCTTGCCATCTAGTATCTAGGTTCTATGATTTGAAGCGACAAAAGTCCTGATCCTAACCAAAGTCCGCCATACCTGCCATCGTGCATGAGACATTCATAAACGGAGTTCGGAGGGGCAAATCCGGAGACCCCTTACAACCTTGGAAGGTCCACAGTCATCATTATAGCATAGCCAATTACATGAATGGGTGGGATGTGTAATTATATTATATAACTATAAAGATGAAGTATCATGATATAGATTACTAGTAAATCCGGCGGACCGGCCTCCGTTCCATAAGCAAAGAACAAAGATGTGTCTCTAGGCACCTATAATTAACTGACATCCATGGATATCCTGAGCATCCAGCATAGTCTGCCCTACCGATTACTAATCATTATGCTAATGGAGAGATCAAAACCAGCCCCCAGCTCAACCAGCACCTATGGCCAGGCTTACACCCCTTGCTATAAGGCAAAGTGCCGGTGTGTGCGTGCTGCAAATGGCGACAATTGCGAAAGGTTGTTGATACAGAATACCTGTTGATATTGGACATTGAGCTCACTCATTTCCAAGATGTATCCGCCTTGGAAAAAGATGTGAGGCATCAGAGTCGGTTCGCAAGCGTAATACTTCAACAACCCCAGCCGATGTGTCCGATACACGCATCGCTCGGCTAGAAGACAAGATGGAGAGCTTGCTTTCTGCAATGACAGCTTTTGTCAGTACTCCAGGGGGCTCATTGTCTTCAATCAACATTCTGCAAACCCCTTCCTCCAACAGGGCTCTGGTAACTCCCACAAGCACTAATCTGTGCTTCAATGAGGGGCCTGCCTTTTCGACGAAACCAATGAACACAGTATCGCCAAATTCCAATTCGCTGTTGGGGTCTAATCCTTATTCTTTGTCGCCTTCTTTTCCCTTGGCAAATCTGTCCGACGAGCGGCTTCATTTTTTCCGATCTCGCATGCTGCCGTCTTTCCCCTTTCTCAACCTTACCCCAGACATGACGAGCTGGTATCTACGTCAAAAAAGGCCATTTTTGCTCCAATCCATTCGCACCGTTACCACTTTCTCGACACAGGAAAGATTCATCCAATCTGAGGAGTTGAAGCGTCTTCTGTTGACATCTGCTTTGATCAAAGTCGAGTCAAATATCGACCTACTGCTTGGACTACTAACCTATCTAGCATGGAGTACCGACGCCTTTCTTGGCAGGGCAGATCTGGTCTCTCGTCTCATGATGCTCGCCATCTCAATGATATATGATCTGTGGTTGTTTAAATCATCCTCGCCAGACGCACAAATCATGATGACTATTACTCAAGGGCGGGATGAAAAGGGTCATATTCCCGGCGACGAAACACCCCATGACTTATTGGAAAGGCAGCGGGCAGTACTGGCATGTTTTATTTTGAGCTCCAAGTGCGTATGGCCCTCTTTGCCTTGTGCATTACTCTGGGAAATCCAGGGAACAATTCACACTGACACATGGCTCTGTAGTGTTTCGTCACATCTTAGGCGTCAAGATGCTCTACAATGGACTCCACAGATGGAAGAGGCACTGCAATTCATCACAATAAGCAAGGCATGCGCCGCCGATCAGCTGTTCGTCGCTCAAGTACGCTTGCAACTGTTGAAGCAGAGAGCCAGCGATGTCCAACAGCAGGACGAGACAAATTGCACTCGCACAGGAATGGCTTCTGCGGCCTCAGTTCCTCGCATATTGTATTTGAAGACCTTACGAAGGCAGCTACATGAGTTGAAGTCTTCATTTAGTGCAGATCTCCAACAGATCAGTAAGCCATGAACAATGTTGTAATCTGCCTCTACTGCAAGATGGTTAATACCTTGACCTGGGGTGAACCCCGGACTTGACATGCAGATATTCTCAACACACATGCGCAATACGTCGAATTGTACATCAATCAGCTAGCGAATTCAATCAGTCAAGATGCGCCTCCTCTAGATCTAGCTGGCAGACGGGGTGACGGTGGGATTCTACGGGGATTTGAACGCCTCGATTGTTTATGGCAGTCTGTCGAGAACGTCAAATCGTGGCTGGCTACCTTTTATGAAATACCTCCCTCAAAGCTCGTCGGTCAACCCTTTCATTTTTGGTCACAGATGGTTCTGAGTATCACACTCTTGAAATATCTTTCAACTCTTACAGACCCAGATTGGAATGTCCAAGCGGTTCGAAGCAGAGTTAACCCCATATCGACGATGGATTCCATGCTGAACAGGCTCGGGATGTGCAATAAGGAGCCAGAGCTTCAGTGCAGTGATCATCTCCTGGGGTATCTATCCAAACTTTTATTCAGATGTCGGGTTTGGGCTGAATATCGGTGGGGTCTATCTTCTGATACCAGGGCGTGTCAGAGTGAAGGTCACAGTAACCATATCCCTGATTTAGATGAGATGGTCTGGATGTAGTCTATGGATTTGGGAAATGACCAATGGTTTGAGAATGTACTGGGGATGCCCGCAAATCTCTAATAGTTCTATTTCAACTTATCAGTGTGTCATTTGTAAGCAATTGAAGTCTCAATAACTGCTGTATACCAAGAGTATACACCTCACGCCGTTCATATTCCATTTGGTCTTTCGAGACGAAGATATATACTAGTTACTTTCGAGTTCAACATCTGGAACAACAACAGCTCTGGGCGCCCTTTGCCCTCAATCACGTCCATGTCTTTCCGATTTGCTTTGAAATCATTCAGTATGGTTTTACACCACCCAGCATCATCCCTCTTAGAACATAAGCTGTTATTAGACCTTCAAGTTTAGTTGGGAAGTTTACTTTAGGTATTATATAAAAAGCGCATCAAAATAGGTTCTCGATAACACTCCCAGATGATTCACCTAGACCGCTGGCCACCCACTAGACCAATCAATCACATTCCATCCAAACTGTTTTTCATCATCTGCATAACCAATTGAAGTATTGGTGTAGGCATAGTAAAGCACTGAGCCATAAGTTGGGTCGTCGTATACACCCCTATACCTTATTAGCAATGCAAAATTCAGGACAAGCCATGGAATAATACTGACTGTCCACCAGGTCCATAAACCTCTCCGTGGCTTTCCAATACAACTGTGCCACCTCCATCTGAGCATGCCACCCCGTCTGCATCAACCTACACCAGTTAGATGAAGAGATGCGAGCAAGAGGATCTTCCTTTGAGACAAACTCACAAAGTCGCCAGTGCCAGTCTCGGAGCGACAGACCTTGATGTGATACTCTTGGCCTGTTGCCGGCATGTCCACATCGTAGTCGCAGCAGATTCCCCACGAATAGAACAGGTAATAATAATCGCCATTCTGGTACATGTAGGAGCCTTCCTCGGGGTGGTCGCCGTCCGGGTAATAGGCAAGGTTGTACGAAGACCCGCTGGCGGCCGTGGCCTCGGAGTTCATCTCCACTTGATAGATATCATCCCAGAACGAGCCGAATTGCATGTAGTAAGTGCCGTCGATTTCGATCAGGCTGGGGTCGATCGCGTTGTAGTCTTTCGAGGAGGAGGATACGATTCCAACGGAGCCGTGGTCGGTCCAGGAGTCCAGGTCCATAGTCTCAGATGTCGCCAGGCCGATTGCAGAGTCCTGCGACCCGAATGTCGAGACGGCGTAGTAGACGTAATATAATCCGTCGATATAATGAGCGTCGGGGGCCTGACAATCAGTACATACTAGGCGTATCCTCAAACGTCATAAACTCACCCAAAGATCGGTGTTCCCAGCAAGGTCAATCGACGAGCCATCTGGCAGCATAGATCCCACCACTGTCCACGGCCCGGCAATGTCAGATGCAGTCACGTAGTAAATCTCATCTCCGGTCGAGAAGCGAAAGTAGGTGTTGTCTGACGACCTGATTATGACTGTAGGGTCATAAACAACGCATTCGCCGGAGCAGCCGCCTGGATTCGCATATCCATATGCTAATGCTGCAAACAGCGTCACTGTTAGTGCTGAAGAAGAAGGCATGATGGCAAATGGTGAGCATCAAATCACACTATTCATGACGAGGAGTCTCACTGACTCTATTTATCTTTGTCAACAGCATCCCCCTTGCGAGTTTCACCAGGGGAGCTATTCGTGGAAATACACTATACACTTGGTCTGACACGGATAGATGGCCTTGTCACATACGGCCCTTTCCAGCAGGCCAAAGACTGAACATGGGCAAACACCATGTGGGGTTGATCTGATGACTGTTGTGAAGCTGTAACCAAGGTGAGGAAAATGGCGCATGGATGAAACACGGGGCGCGCCGAGTGGTGGATTTGGTTTATTCCTAACATCAGTAGAAATCTCTGGCAAGAGTTAATCCTTGTTGTTTTATTATCTTAGTATTTTATGCTAGATGAATCTCCTGTATTTATTGTAGGATGCATGGCAGCCCCACTAATAGTCATCAATTAGGCAGTTTTCTTAAGCTGGAAGACTTGTTTTATATAGATATATATTCTCTCCATCATATATAGCTCTGTCATAATATATGCTATGGAATACCGATTTGAGGTAACACCCCGTGCCCAGTGCTCTATAGGAATTCTATCTCTTATTTAGTTCCAGTCGACAATACTCTTGAATCTCGCTTTACCCGGCGTGAAAGAGCGGGGTAAATTTCTCCACATGCAGTCCCATGAGATTCTTCAAGGTGTTAGTATTCTGCATGACGCGGTGAACCCCAATACTCGCAGGGTCCAGCAAGGCCCCAGTCTCGCAGAGCAACAGCGTCATTGGTCCATGGAATGGCTAGTATTCCCCGCATGTGAATTTGCGTGTATTTCAGGGTTAGGGTTTCAGTTTTGTAAAAAAGGAAATACATAGATAGGGAAGATGATATTATGATTGCTGTTACTTGGCCGTCAAAATTACGCTTGGACCATTTCTTCGGGAGTGGGCATGTTCACGACCATCACATAGAAGATATTCTGTACGCCAATATCAGGACTATTCTTATAACTACCGGAGGGATGGGATAAATTAGGTTAAAAGGACCAGCAGGGTTGTAAATTCTTTGCTGACGATTCTTTACAGCCTAGAAAGCCAGGCCAATCAGCCCTCCTCCAAACACTCCAAATCCTCCACCCATTTGATATGTTCGATCAGCGTATTTAGGGAGAAATTCCGGTTTCCCTCCTTACATCAGAGGGCTATCCGGATCCGCGGCGAGCTGGTAATGATCAATGTATATAATGATATATATAAACCCATAGATATATGGATTTTGAAGAAAGAATGTATTCAAAATATAGCTTCGCCCTGACCCATAATATCATTACAAGGTCAGAGATCGGCATAAAGCCAAGTAGAAGACTGGCTTAGAATTTAATAAGACCCGAAAGACTCCCGCTGACGGTGATATGTCCGCCACCTCCCACTTCATGCCAGCCCTAAGCCCCCAGATGTTGAGATACCTTAACCTGAAACACCCTCCCCTTTTCTCGAGTGTGTCGTAAAGATGTGACTAGCTAACTAGGGTTTGGAAATAAGATTCTATACAGCGTGAAATGCAAGGGTGAGTCGGATCTGCTGTATTACTTTCTCATTATTGAACCTGATCATCACTGGCTAATAGAATGAAAATAAACTGTAGTACTCTCCCTAGCAGTCTATACCATCCCCTATTCATGGTTAGCATAGTAGGTATAGGAATAGCTGTTGCTAGTATCAGTTACTTGAATTCTATTTTCGAGAATAGGCTCTCAATACAGCTAGGGTTGAAATTTGGGATTTCAGCTGCTTCCTTTCACATCAAACACTACTTGCGACCTCTCAAACAAAAGAAATATGCCACCGCCGCCAGGATAATAAACCCCCCCAGACCAACACCGACCCCGACCCCAATCTTGGCTATCTCCGCCAGGCCGGAATGACCTGCGGCAGGCGTGGCCACAGTAGTGCTACTTCCATAGCAACCTGAGCTCCCGTCGCTTGTGTTTAAGCTGCTCTGGGCGGCAGCCTGGTCGTATCCCGTGCAGTTGACGTCCAGCGAGCTGGAGATGTAGATCCGATTGGCGGATGTAAGCTGGGGGAAGTATACACTGCCAATACAAGTCTCAGCGTGACAAAGGAAACTCATACTTATTGAATGGATAGCGGGACTCGACTCACTCGGTAACATTCCCTGTAATCTCAATAGTATTTGCTTTCACAAGACTGGTGAAGTTGAGGCTCAGCGGCGACGAAGCAGAGATCGAGATCGTGGCATTTGTTTCGACCAGCGAGGGGAGAGAAATACTAAATCTGTGAATTGAAGGCTACTCCTGTATGATAGCTTATTTACCTGCTGAAATTCCCGCCGATGGCCAGCCCGCCTGTCACTTCACTCAGACGCGGAAGATCCAAAGCAATGGCATCGCCTGAGTTGCCGATTTGAGTGGCAGAATAAGCCGACTTTAGCCGTGGCAAGTAAATGCTGATCGCATTAGATCAAAGTGCTAAAGTATCCAATTTATAATATTATATATATGCTCACTTCGACACCGTTCCTGTAATCACAATTTCAGTCGCGGTGCGTAGGAGAGGAAAATCGACGGCGAAAGGCTCCGCTGAAGATACCTCATTGTCAAGGGATAGCATGCCCGTGATGTTTTCGAGCATTGGAAAGTTTAAACTGGCATTGATTAACTATCTTATGCCTTGACTAAATGTCTGTTGGACTCTCAACAGGATCTAATGCTTACTATAGAGTCTTCCCCCCGACGTCTATCGAGTCTATGGCAGTGATAAGAGGGATATCAACAGTGAGCGCCTCCTCTGTGTCTAGCCTGAGAGCTAGAAAATCAGTCATTCTCGGCGCTGAGAAGTTACGCAGGCGCGGCGTGCTCCCGGCAATGAAGTTGTAGCCCTGCACCACGTCCGGCAGGAGAATCTCTGTTAAACCCGGCACAGACAGATTCGTCGAGATCGCGGCGGACAGGTTCGTGACGCCCGCAAAGCTCGCCGCCCCACTGAACGACGAATCGATCTCGATCTTGCGCCCAAAGGTCGTGCAGTCAGCCAGGGCGGCAGCAAGGGCTGTTTGGCTGTCGACTACGACAGTGCTCCCGGACAGACAGTCTGCCGCAGCAGACGCCGCCAGGAGCACTCCGATGGCGAAATAATGGGTGCCGTGTGAAATCATGGCGGATAGTATGGTGAGCATGAGAAAAGAGCATCATACGTTGCTTATAGTTAGTTTCTCTCAGGGGATATCATGCCCAAGCCAAGCCCCGACTAATCGGGGCCGAGAAACAAAACCAATCAAGCCTATCCATATCAACGCTAGAGAGTAGTCTGTCACGAGATAGCATCCTAGGCTTATAAACTAGATTAGACCCTGAATCCTTTGAAGATATAGACAGATATAGAAAGTACCTACTGGAAATTACCTCACAGCCATTTTGAGTAATAAAGTTATATATAAGGATAATGAAATATAGGGTATAAAATGATATATAATGAATGCACTGGAATACTCTTAGTAATGACTAATACTATGGCTTCTAAGTACCTAGGTGGGTTATAACCAAGTAGTATATAAAGAAAGTAAACAGCCAGAGCAGGATTTCCAGACCATAAGATTAATTAATCCATATTTAATAATAACATATTCTAATAATAATAGACTTGATAAGACAGTCCTCGTGTTGTTCTATACCTGGATACTAGCCAGGCGATAAGCTGTGCTGTAGGAATCCTTCGAGACGCTATAGCTAGAGAAATATTAAACCTATCAAATCCATGGACATAAAACCAAAACATAAATTAGAAAACAAGGGATAAATAATAACAAACAAATAGAGGTGTTCTCCTCGTCCGTAAAGCCACATGGCGTGGGCCCAGCCCTTCCGATGGGTAGGTGTAGGTGTAAGCTCTTGAAATATATAATCTTCCCTTCAGAGAAACTTTAGTCTCTCTATCATAGGGCTAAAGCTTTAGGAATTAATTTTTCACCATTTATCTAATTAAATACTCTTTATCTTTCTGTCTAATATTCCTCCCTTTCATCAAGGAAGAAAATGGATTTTCATAAGGGATTTTCCTCCCAGACAACTGTCTGCCTATACACGTATCATCCTGAGCAGCTTCCTTGAGGTTGAAGACATGGTGCCGCTACAGCAAAAAGCCCGCTGGATGCAGCATAATCACTGGCGCTAGATGGTTATGCCTGAACCCCGTAGCTACGAGGGAATGTATGTGGTTACTTGACGTCGAATCATCTCTAGCAGTATCCCGCGACAGCTCGTTCCGCAGCAAACAAACCGGCGCCGACAACGTAGACAGAGATTGGCCAGGTCGAAGTTCACGACGATATCATTCAACGCATCTTTCAGCGGTTCCAACCTTCTCAGGGCTCTTTTGTCCCCATGCATGCCCCGGACAATATGGGTCTCAGGTCCTTCTACTCGGACTACGCTCAATTAAACCGCACCCAAAAGCTCAATTTGTGTCCCGATGGAGAGTAAAGATGTGTGAATAAATAGTGATGAAATGCAGCTTCATTGTACATCAATCCGGGGACTATATATTGCTCCTACTCCTGGTACTAGGCGATGCGGAATGTGGAAAAAAAGCATTATCAAGCCAAGTATCCTATCTATAGTAAGCTAAACTACCCTTTCGCCAGCATAATCCCCTCTATCAGGCTGACGTGGTGGCGTTAGAAGATATAAGAAGAATCCAATATAGTTACTAAATGATCAAAACCACAATTTCCTGTAAAATAGGAGTGTATAACTCTTTATACCTCAATCTTTCAAGCTCTGCCCATAGGGCAGTTTAGATATAGAAGATTATTTGGCTCTTAATTTGCAGTTCCCCACAACCCCGCATTCAGCGGGGAAAAGTTTATCGCAAATTTGAAATAAGGATATAAAAGTTATAAACCGATGAGTAGACTTATCTCTATACCACCTATCAGAATTTCGAGGAAAACGAAGGAAAGTTGAGGTATGAGAACCTTGAAAGATGAATAAATAACCAATGGTCAATAATCTAGGCTATACATCTCTGTCGCCTCTATGTTATGCATTATGCCAAGGAAACATCATCATATGATTACTTACTGAATTATTGCAATCATAGTACTGGTGTTTATTTTGGCTAATCCGTGTTGGAAAGTATAGATAATGGTGAATTTTCAGGGGGAGGAAGTGTTGAAGACCTGTTCACCAGAGTATAAGCCGACACTTGCTGATTACTAGTATTTGTATTGATTAATAGTGCCTGAATACTAAGACGTCTAGTAGAAGTATTATTGTAATTGAGATAATCCAGTGCTGTAGCAGGTTTCAAATATAAATAGCCAAGTAAAGGCCGATTGGAAGGCGGTATATCATTACGTGGCATTGTATAGAAGTAGAAAATGTTACCTCATTTTAATTCATAAATCCATGTAAAATGACGATGAATACCACTAGATATGTAGTTTGATTACTTTGACATCATGATAATGAACATATGACAGGGCTATTGAGTATACCACCTGCAGAATGTTACCTAAAGAGCAAGTCGGAAGTAAATCATCTTCCGTCTTGTAAATGAACCCTGCAGACAGCAAGAACGTTCTTACCCCTCAAAACGTCATAAATGTCATAAGACATGGTAGCTAATATATTAATATATAAGATAGCATAGTAGACAGGCGTTGAGCTCTCATGGGTCCTCCTCACCTTTCTCACTACCACCCTCTCACAATGACCGGACTCATTATACTAGCCATGGCGCAGTTGGCCAGCGCTGCTCTCTACGAGACAGTCATCCACACGCAATATGGTTCTATTCAAGGCTACCCCGCCTTCAACAGCTCACCGACGGGCAATCTGACTCATTGGAAGGATATCACTGTCTGGAAGGGTATTCCCTTTGCCGCTACGACGGCAGGCCAGAACCGCTTCCGGGAACCCCAGCCGGCGAGTGCCTGGAACAAGACCCTGGACGCCCGGGAATGGGGCCCTGTCTGTCCGCAAGCTACCTCTGGCCAGACCGGGTTCACGATTGACGAAGACTGCCTGAACCTGAATATCTGGAGCGCGGCCAATTCCACCGATGCTAAGTTGCCTGTGGTGATGTGGAGTTATCCTGCCGAATCCACGGCTGCCGACCCTTTATTTGACGGCGGGGGGATGGCCGACAAGGGCATTGTCTTTGTGAATTATAACTACCGGACCGGTGCCTTTGGCTGGCTGGCACACCCCGAGCTCTCTGAAGAGTTCTATCAAGTCACCGGCTCCAACTCCTCGGGCAACTGGGCCATGCTTGATCAGTTCGCCGCACTGAAATGGATCCATGAGAACATCGCCGCGTTTGGGGGAGATCCAGACCATATCACTGTCCAGGGCCAGTCTGCCGGGTCCGCCGCGACACAGCACATCCTTAATAGTCCCTTGACAGCCGGGCTGATTGTCGGGGCCATCATCGAAAGTGGCGTGCGGGATCCCCAGGACCCCATGTGCGCGACGGTGGCCGAGAACTACAAGACTCTCAGCTACAAACTCAACCAGGGAGTGGAATATCTGGCCTCGCTCAATCTCACCACCATCGCTGAACTGCGCGCTTTGCCCATGGAAGACCTCGTTTCATCTGGTACTGCCAACAGTGCCGGCTGGACCGCCGGGCTAGACTACTACGCCATGCCAGACACTTACTATAACACGCTCATCCATGGTCTGGCGCATAATGTGCCCGTAATAACGGGCAATGCGAAAGACGAGAACGGGGCAACATGGAACTTGAGTATCACGTTGACGGAATATCTGGCTGATATGAATGAGACCTTTTACGCCTCAGGGGATGATGGGCACTGGCTCGATGACTTTCTCGATGTATACTGGGCAAACGACTCCCGCACCGCCGCCGCAGCGTATAACCTCCAATGGGATGACCGATCAACCATTGGCACTTGGATGTGGGCGCAGATGTGGTACACGGCGCGTACAGCCCCTGTCTACACGTATTTCTGGGACCATGCACCTCCTGGCGAGGACCGGGGTGCCTACCACGAATCGGAAATCAATTATGTCTTGAATAATCTGTACGATACAGATTTGCCTTGGGAAGCGATTGATTATGTGATTGCCGACAAGATGAATTCATACTGGGTCAATTTTGCGAAAACGGGAAATCCGAACGGGCTGGACGCGAATGGAGATCCATTGGTTGAATGGCCTGCCACAAGTGACAGTGAGGTGGTCCAAAGAGTGGGAAATGCATGGGGCCCGATTGCCGTTGCTTCGGAGACCGATCCAAAGGCCAAGATAAAGCTCTTTCAAGACTGGTTTGCGGTGCAGCCAAAGTTTTGAACATCCTTAGGATAGCGGGACTGATTCAATCGAATATTGATTCATATCAATATTAACAAATCATTGAGACTTGATTACCTAGCATATATTGCAGTCAGCTGATATTAGGGATAATAAGGTTTCTGGAGCATCAGCTGACACTGGGGTAAAGATCTAGGCCTCAGCCACGATCCAATAAGCCTATGCTTGACTAACCTTAATCATTACAAAAGCCTCAGTCTCTAAAATTGTCTAATACTTCCATAGGAATAGATTCCATAGGAATAGAAGTACTTTTGTCCTAGTAATATATCTTCTAGGGTCCTGTGTATCTTTGTCAAGAATTAGATGAAGTAATACACTATTTATCACAGGAATATATGACCATATAGCACTCTAATTAATGTCTGGACATTTTTAGTGGCTTAGTGGTCTAGTGGCCCCCTACCTTCTGTCAAACCATTTTAGAGAGTACAGGTAGTGTTAATAGACAGTAACTTTTTATAGATATAAGTCCATATTAAGTTGCCCACTCGACAAAAGCATCAACCACTCCCCCCCCCCTCAGCTGTCCACCAACAGGTCAAAGACATCCATGAGCAGATTACCCTTGACCCGAGGTAGTGGCTTCTCGATGCCCATCAAACCATGAACAGCCATCTGTGCGCCGCGCACGCTGTACTCGAGATTACCGGTGGTCTCGCGCGGGATCTCGCAGAACTGGCCGATCAAGGCGAGATTGGTGGTGCCCGCGGGGAGCACGGCGGGACGGTCGGCGTGGGAGCGGGCCAGCAGCGGCGCGGTGGCCAGCGGCATGACGCAGGGGATGGTGATGGTGTTGGGCAGCAGCGTGGCGATGGGGAAGCCGAGGTGGGTGAGCAGCTCGCGCAGGATCTCATGGCCCGCGCAGTCGGCCATGGGCTTGTTAATGACATTGCCGTGCTTCTCTGGGCGCAGGCCGTAGCCCCAGACCACGCGCGTGTGCGCGGGCTGCTGGGGGCACACGGGCTGCCGGGGCACGCTGATGCTTAGCAGCCAGTTGCTGTCCGGCAGGGACAGCAGGGCGCCGGTGCCCGGGGCATCGTGCGTGAGGGCCTCGTACCGGTGCACAAAGTTGGCGTCTGGGAAGGTGATGGTGAAGGAAACGATCTTCGACTCTGCCGGGTGCGAGTTGAACGCCAGGGGGTCTCCAAAGCGCCCCGACTGGTGCGCCAGATGGAACCAGAGCGACCAGTCCCCGTAGGTTGCGTCGTCCGGGTCCGCGGGGTGCGGCGCGGGGGCCGTGTTGGTGCCCGCCTGGGCCCCGGCGCTGACGGAGCCTAGAGTGACGATGGCCACATCGTCCAGACCGAGAGCCACACGGCGCTCCTCTTCGTCGCCCTCACGCAGGACCAGCTCTGAGATGGTGGCTGGTTCGGTGGGGTGGTCTCGGGAGGCCTGCATGCACACATCGACCACCTTGGTGTGGAAGTGGAACTGCACGCCCTGGGCCTCCAGATAGGCCGTGATGGGCAGGATGATGGACTCGTAGAGGGTGTACCGCGTGTGGTCCAGGTCTCTGACGTGGTTAAGCGAGTGGATGTCCGGGAGATGCTTGCGCAAGCAGCGCTGGAACTCGGCGGCGCTGTGCCAGGGGCGGAAAGCAAATCTGAAACGATTTTAGCTGTTTGGTTGGGCCTCAACCAGCAGCCATGAGGACTCACGTTGTGGCCCATAAGACCCAAAAGTCAGTACTAAAGAACTCATCGCCGAAAAAGTCTTGGATCCGGCGCCCATCCAGCGCGGTCTCGGCCTCCAGGAGGATCTTGATGAGCTGCAGCCGGCTGTAGGGCCCAATGGCCAGCCGGCTGCTGTCCGACCGCACCGCCGTCTGGCCTGGATTGCGGACGAAACGTGTCTGGGCGCGCGGCCGCAGCACTGGCTGCAGCCCTGATCCGTCCAGGGCCTCCTCCAGGCGGCGCCCCTCGTTCCATTCAAACGCCCGGATCTGGCTCAGTAGAGTCCTCTCAGCGTTGTGCCCGTCACCCCCCGGTACAAGGGCGAGCAGGTTCTCCACGCAGGCATCGTGGAAGTACGGCTGGCCGCTGAGGTGCACGACAAACCCGTGTGTCGCGTCTCCAGATGAAGCCATTCCGCCGCCCACCTGCTCGTGGAGGTCCAGGATGTGGATGTTGCGCCCAGGTAGGCCTGCATCCCGGAGGAGATGGACTGCCGCTGCTAGAGAGGCGATACCGCCGCCCACCAGCCACGCCTGGGTTTGCTCTGGGTCGCGAGGGGGTGAAGAGGATGTCCGACGGGGCATTTCGTTCATATAAAGGGGAAGGTCGACGAGGTAGGTTGTGTATACTTCACCCTTATCAGGATAGTGATGGTGGGGTGTATACTGTGTCTACCATCCTCTTTTAAGTGAGAGAGGCAGATACTGCTTAGCTCCAGTTAAACTATTCTAGATCACGCCACAAGGGGAATCATGCTACGGGTGTTATCAGACAGGTACTGCCTTTGGTCTAGAAGGGTCTGGCAGAGGAAGACTGGACAAGCTTATTATAGGGAAGTACAATTCCTATAGCCAGACTGCGCTACCTATGGTGGTGATTAAATCTCAACATATTTGAACAGTTCAAGGCACACACTATTCACTATATCCAAAACAGACTTCCAATATACTGAGTGAATGACGATGATTTACATATTGAGTTGATAGGTGGGGACTTTTTATCCCGTATAGGGCGAGGCCCTTGGCTTTGGGTAACCATGGACACCACCGATCCCTTGACACCTCCGAGATCTGGCCGAGTGCGCCGGCACACAGTCAGTATAGGCTACGACTGATCATTACTATTTGATTTTCTTCCTTGCTTTTTTGCTATATTAGTGCTCAAGGTATCATCAGGTCTGGCTGCTCTTTCCTTGCTATATCATGCTGTCTTTTCTTCTGTTAAATCTACATCATGTCCCGGTGCCCCTATTATCGGCCGAAAAGAAAACCTTATATATGATGAGCGCCTCATTACGTGTCAAGTGACCGTAATGACCATAATGAACCATTGGTCAAACCAAAGCATCGTGATTCGACCTTTTAAGAAAGTATTTCTCATAGGTATGCCACAGTCGTCAACTATGGCATTAAGCATGTGACCTTGCCTTTAAAATACCCCTCGCTGTCAGCCGACATGAGATATTTCTTCCTATCACCCCTGAGCTGCAGGCGTTTTAATTGTCGATACCTTTCTGCAGTCTTATATGATGCCTTTCGCTGATCCAAAATGCCTAGAGATGAATTCACTCAGTCTTGTTGGCGACATCCCTGTCAACGCTGGCCCCTGGAGCAACAATGATTGGGCCAATTGGAATATCGTTTCCCCAGATGTGTGTTTTGCCTTCATATTCGAGCTCTTGAGGCGTCCATATTCAACCCACAACGCTGACAAGCAAGACAGAGTCCTACCTTGGCTCCTTTCCAGCAGGAGCTTATTTTTCCATTCTCACCCGATCCTTTCGGGCCAATCATGTTCGGTGTTAGGGGCATTGCTGGCACCGTCAACAAACTGACAACGGACGACACCTCTGGGTCGGCATCTGTAGAGGAGAACTCTCTGCCTCCTTCGCCCGTAAAAGAAATACAGCCATCAAACAGACAGGCACAAACGCGTGCACCCAGCGGACTTGGCGGAGACGACGCCGATGACGAAGACGAGCAACACAACCAACAACTGCAAGAGAGTCTCCGCCGCCGGCAAGCACATAATATAGTGGAGAAGAACTATCGGCACAGTGTGCACTCCAAGTTCATCCACCTGCGAGAGATCCTGAATCAATGTAACGGTCCTGGTGACATTCACATGTCAAACTCGCGACGGGCTCAACGGCCTAACACACTCCAGGAGGCCTGTGATACTATCCTGGACCTCCAGAGGCAGGTCAAATCCCTGAAAAAAGAACTTTCAACCCTGTGCGAGGCGACCCTACCAGCAGAAACATACAAATACACTCTCCATGATGAGTAAAAGTGATGAATGTCGAATCAGCATTTTCTTTTTGAAAAGTCTCTTCTTTTATCATCAATTAGCTCTTGCTTTAGATGAAGTATATTGGGAGAATAGTCAAGGATGTTTCTTTAGGATTGTGAAGTGCCCGTTTGAAACTACTAGAAAGAAATATTCGGAACGATTCCTTCAGCATAATGAGAATAGGAGATTCATGTCCCTTCTTTACATGGCTGAATTGTCTATGAGACCAATTTTATTATTAGGAGGCAGTGTGATGGAATATAGGTATTTCTCCTTCTTCTGAGAGTTCATCTCAGAAAGGAGGTGATTCGTAACATGGGAGAGAACATAGGAGAGAAACATAAGGATAGGAAAAAGCCCTACGAGCTGACCAAATATATTACAAGGCAAAAGTCAAGGCCCTTCACATTTGAAAAATCCAGGATCGAAGCTTCAACAAATACCCGAGTCAACTGAATGCCTGTGGCTGCTCTGAGTGACTGAGTAGGTTGAGCAGATTTTCTGTCAGACTCGGTTATTTCTATGGATGAGAGAAGATAGATAACAGTGCTGATGGGGGAGCTTTTGATAGTAGCAAAAAATCAAATCTAAACCATCAACAATTCTTTGGCTATATATATTTTTGTTTCCAAACCAAACAAGGAATAGTCTATACAATATCTAATCAGCCATTACTATGATGCAGCAATTATTATAAATATTATTGTAAGAGAAGAGGGCCAATATAGCATTTAATCCTGTACTAGTCATGTATGATGATTACTTCTATCTTCAAGCTTGATAGCCATAGCACCACTCCTGAGTCTCATAGTCACACATCCCATATGGACTGTACTCTCTCTTCTCCCCCATCGCTTCATCGCGGGCTTCCTGTTCTGGTCCATCTGGGAGATGCAATACTGCCGCCGCTTGCTCACTGGCTTCCTGGACCCGGGCAGTCCTCTGCATGCGACTGATCTCTATAGGACGTAGTACTGAGTATATATTCCTCGCATCGTCGACGGTCTTCAATGCGATTGCAACGGCTGCGGCATCCTCGACTGCCATCGAGATGCCTTGATAATCTGTTAGCATGTTGATCGTTTGATGTTTTACGAAGGCTAAGACACAAGGTTAGCCCTACCCATGGATAAATAAGGCAACATGCCATGTGCAGCGTCGCCGAGAATCATAAATCGGCCCGAGGGAGCCAGCCAGCTATCAAGTGCGATCTGGTATAGAGGCCAGTTCTGGATCGACTCTTGTTTGCGGACAATGTCCATCAATCTATCCTTTAGTTTGAGCTCAGCCACAAGCTATGGAATGGGAAATACCGTGTATCCCAGTTGCCAAAGTATTGCTCCATTTCCTTTGTTAATCCTTGCTGCGACGGAGACGACAGATGGGTATCCGGATGCGAGAGAACCAGGTTGAGCTGCGTGTGGTTGCGAATCATGTATGCCATTGCGGAACAAGATTCTCCCACCCTTTATATATATTCATTAAGTGCGTAAGAAAGAAGAAAGAAGGAATAATACCATAAATTCAAGTCTCGGCTAGATGCAATCCACGCGGTCTGCGGATCGGCCCGTACCGCCTCCACCGGGACAATGAGCCGGTACGCGGCGATCCCTGATGGACACGGTCGTTTCTCCGACAACTGCGCTCGTGCAGAGGAGTGCAGCCCGTCTATGGCAAGGATAAGGTCTGGTGCGATCGTCTCCCCGGTGTGCAGACGGAGAGTGGGGGTGTCGATATCGTAGGCCACCACTCGACAGCCGGCACACACGGTGACGCCTAGACCCGTCGCATGGGCGAAGAGCACGCGGTAGAGGTCAGCCCGGTGGAGGACAAGATACGGCGCTTTGAAGCGCTGTTCCCACTTGTCCAGCATGGTGCGCGCCAGCAGCCGGCCGTTGTCCCATCGACGGAGTTGCAACGAGGTGGGCGACAGAGCAACTGATCGGAGGGCTTCGGCCAGTCCCCAGGAGAGCCAGATGCGGACGGCATTGGGCGAGATTTGCACTCCGGCGCCGATCTAGTCATCTGAATTAAAATGTCTGTAAGTTGATGGGTAGAGGGCGTATACTTTGGAGGGTTCTGTTGCTTCATAGACTGTCACTTGGTGGCCGTCACGGGCGAGAGCAATGGCGGCCGAGAGGCCACCAATGCCTGCACCAACAATAGAGATGGAAAACATTGTTAACAGGTGAGAGAGGTGAGGTGGGAGAAAGAGGGAATGCAGGGCGATGAAGAGGTTAGCCAAGTTACACAGAGTACATAAAGCGGTCAGTAATTAGTATATTATACCAGTAGTTACCTTGGTTGCTTGAATATAGTACTCTACATCACTCCAGGGATATAGGAATACTATACATGTATTAACTAGCATTAGCTCTCTTGTTGGTCGTAACCCCAAGCCAGAGAAACTATTGCCGAGTGAAAGGATCAACTTTGAGGCAAGACATATAGTAAAAATAGTTTTATAAAGACAGTTTATTTATCATGGTAATAGGATAGTAATAATAAGTGAGCTAACTATATCTTAGGAAATAGAGTGAACCACCTAATCAGAGCTTTCTCATCAAGTTAGGTGTTAAGGCTATATTTTACTCAATTAATCTATATCTAAGGATAGTAGAAGGTATTAATGATTTTCTATATCTTACTATGTATCTTGCAGAAATTCTATTGCTTAACTGCTCTCTATCAATATTAATTCTATCAGATCAACTATAAAGTGTACATATCTATTGTCAATCTTGTCAGATAGATCATTGTATCGCTGATGAACTCGCCCTTGTCATCTCAAGTGACGCTCTTCGGATAGGGTATCCTTCCCAGAATACCAGCGTCGGGTTTGGCGCTGGGCATGGGCAACAGGGCAGCGAGACGTTAACCCGCATTGCGACAGCTATTGAGCCCTGTCGGCTCTCGCAGATCATCGATATCGAGGCGCGCAAAGTACAGTCGTTTGCCATCGATCTCGCGGTGAAGCTACACCTGGGCCAGGCGTCAGCAGAGGTTCCCTTCCACATCGGCGTCAAGTGGTCGTATGCTTCTCCCGGCCGACGGCTCAGACCATGCGTTGATCAAGTTCATGTCCACGATTTCCATCCCGTCCATCTCCATCAGCTACGGCTATCAGGGAAAGAAACCCAGCCATCTGGAGATGAAGGGGACCATCTGTCTCGGCCCTCTGGAGCTGTCCCTGGACTACTCTCACAACGGCCAGGGCTGGAACCTCTCGGGGCAGCTGCACGCCGGCGCAGCCCTAGCAGCGAAGCAGGTCAAGCTGGGCGACCTGCTCAAGGATCTGGTGGGCGAGCATCTTGACAGCTTCCCGGAGTTCCTGCTCAACGCGACTCTCTCGCCGGCTGACATCCAGGTCTCGTGGAAGGCGGTGCGGAAAACCATGAAGTCGTCCGCCGTTCGTGAACCGGCGGAGGACTACATGGTGTTCTGCCTGGTCGTCACAGTCAAGGCCTTTAGCTTCTGTTTTCTGCAGCTCCAGGACGAGAAGGGCGTCTATCCGACGCCCACAACGGGGGGGACGAAGCCCCGGACCCAGACCCCCGTGCGCCGGCTGTTCCGCTTCTCGTGGAACGAGCTGCCCGAGATGCCCCAGGGCAGCATTCCGATCGTCAAAGAGCTGCCGCGGCCGTTTGATAAGCTCTCCTTTCTATGGGTGAGCGCTGATCTCACCTGTGCTCAAGTGCAGTTCCTCAACAGCGTGGCGTTTACCGAGTCGCCCGGGGATACAAGCCCGTTGGTGTGGAAGGCATCTAAAAAGAAGAGCCAAACCCCCGTCGAGCAGGAGAAAGAGATTGCCCTGGTGGCAGGCTGCCATTTCCAGGCCATTCTGGCCGAACAGGGCAGGCCGAACTGCCTCCTGGACTATGTGTTCTATGGAGGCAAAAAGACCGCCGAATCCACCGCAAATACCGCCGGCGACGACCAGGAACAGCCCGGGCAGGACCAGCCTGGAGCCACAGCCAGCGCCCCCCTGGCCCGGGCCTCGCGGGGGCTCACCCTGCGCAACATTGGGCTGCGCATGGAGCACGGCAAGGTGCTGACCATCTCGCTGGATGCGACCGCCTCGCTAGGTCCGGTCGCATGCGATCTCGTAGGCTTTGCCGTGAAGCTGGACTTTTCGCAATTCAGCTTCGACAAGGCCGGGACCGGCGGGGGGTTGGGCGTGGACTTCGCCCTCAACGGCCTGTCCCTGGCGGGCATGGTGGTGCGCGAGACGCTCAAGGGCCAGGCGGGCGGGCGGTACCTGGGGGGGCTGGCTCTAGGGGCCGGCGCCTGGACGTTCCTGGCCGCGGGCATGCTGGAGCAGGGGCCCGAGTACAACTCTGTGTTCGCCTTTGCCCGGCTCCAGGGCCCGCTCATCACCTTCAGCTTCATCGAGGTCAACGGGCTCGTCGGCGGGTTCGGGTACAACTCGCGGCTGCGACTGCCACAGCCCGAGCAGGTCGCCCAGTTCCCCTTTGTGAGCATCAACACCGGCGGGGGGAGCGCCGAGGGGATCGTCAACCAGTTCCACCAGCTCGTCGGCGGCCCCGACGCAAACGACGGCGCCTGGATCAAGTCGCAGCGGGACTCGCTCTGGCTGGCGGCCGGCCTGGGGGTCAAGGCCTTCCAGGCCCTGAACGTCCAGGCAGTGCTCGCCGTCGACCTCCCCGAGCACCCGCGGTTCGGGGTCTTTGCACAGGCGGTCGCGGCCCTGCCCAAGGGCTCTTTCGAGGAGAAGTCCTTCCTGTTCTTTGACTTTGTCCTCGGCGGCACGCTGGACCCGGAACAGGGCCTGCTGGCCGTTACCGGCTTTCTGACCCCGCGCTCCTTCCTCCTGGACCGCTCCTGCCGGGTGACGGGGGGCTTTGCCCTGGCCGTCTTCACGGCGCCCTCCCCCCATGCCGGCGACTGGGTGTTCTCTGTTGGGGGCTTCCACCCGCGCTTCCAGCGGCCAGGCCACTATCCCCCGCCGCCGCCGCGCGTGGGCATCTCCTGGGCGTACGACAGCCACCTCCGCATCAGCGGCGAGGCCTATTTTGCCATCACCCCGCGGGCGTGCATGGCGGGCGCCCGCCTGGACGCTGTGTTCGAGACGGACGTGGTTCGCGCGACCTTCAGCGCCTTTGCCGACATATGAGCCCTTCCATTTTGAAGCCGAGGTCGGCATCTCGATCTCCTTTGCCGCCAGGCTCGACTGCTTCTTCTTCACCATCAACGTGAGCGGTAGCGTGAGCGCCGTCGTCGAGCTGTACGGTCCCCCCGTCGCGGGAGTCGCCCATGTTCATCTTCTCGTCCTGGACATCTCGGTGCGCTTCGGGCAGCGGCAGTACTCCAGGCCACCGCTGGCCTGGGCCGAGTTCGCCGCGCTGGTGAAACAGGCGCCCTCGCCGGCTGAGGCCCGCCACATACCCGACCATCTTCTTGTTGTCACCAGGGGACTCCTGGCAGACAGTGAGGACAAGTCTACGGCCAACCCGGATCTCTGGCGCGTCCGGGGCCCCCAGTTCGAATTTCAGGTCCAGTCTCGCTTCCCTCTGCGGGAGGTCGTATGCAACGGCACGTCTAGCCCGAGTGTGAACCAGCAGGGACGGCAGTTCTTCGCGGCGCCCATGCAGCTGCAAAGCCACGAGCCGTTTGAAGTGTCTCGCCTGGAGGTGACCATCACCACCCACAGCTCCAACCTCGGCTCAGACGCCGGTTTGAGCTTTCTAATGACCCCGATCGTGAACGCGGTACCCAAGGCGCTATGGGGCGAATGTAGGATTTCCGCTCCGCTCATCTCTATACTCTGTGTTGAACTCACCGTAACAGATAACCCTAATTCGGAGCAAGATCCATATGCCGTGCTGAATGACCAGGCCACCACGAACCATCCGATGGGTGTTTCTCTCTGTCCCGGCAAACCCGCCGATTCAGAAGAAAACCTGCCTCCCATTTTCATGAATAAATTCAGAACAATCAACGTGTCCGGATCCCACAGCTCGACGGTCAAGACCGGAGAGTTTTCCGTGCCCCTGCGATCCCTTGCCGCAACAGAGTCCCATTCAGCATTTTCATCCACTGCAACATCTCCTGGCAAAGACGAAACACAGGCCGCGATTTTCAGAACATGGGAAATATTCATGAAGACACATACTGGGGGTGGCGTTGGATTCTAAGGCATCCACTTCCCAGCAGTACTGGCTTGATGCAGTTGATGTTGCTAGGTATAGACGGAAGCTTTTGACGATAAACCCTAAGTAATGGACTAAAGCATGGGTCCACGTGTATAGTTACTCTTCCTACCGAGTATGGAGTAGCCTTATCACCCCTGCTAACCCCTGCAGGTAATTAATAAACTAGCTCACCGGAGTACTCCGTGGGCTCCAGCAGTGCAGTTGATTGGGAATCCATTCTTAGACCAAGGCCTGGACTTTAGCTAGAAAATAGTAATGCTTTCCTCGCACCTGAGAGGCCGATCGGGTCGCTTATTTTTGCACTCTGTAAGGCCTGTTGCTTTGCCAGGCACAGGATATCGGCGCTAGCCATATCAAGCACATATTAACGAGCTGTGCCTGACTGTCTAAATTAAAGTCAGTTGCTAGGTTCTAGGACTGGGGTGCTCAGTGGGCTATCGGTGCAAAAATACTAGCAGGGGAATTATTGATTATTATTATTATCTACTCTTAAAGCATCAGAACGTAAGGCACATCAAGTCCGTACTAACAAGCTGCTAGCAGTGGAAAGAGGGATCTAGATAGATTAGAAGATCAAGCTGGACACCCAAAGAGAGTCGCAATCTCGGTGGTGTAGATGGTAGACGTGATGGATAGGATGTTTGAGCTGGGCGGGGGAAGAGCTGAACCACTGGAAATGACACTTGAAGTCAGAGCACCGGAAGACGCAGCGGGGGTAGACGAAGCCACTGCAGTGTAGGCAGAGCTGGAGGCAGAACTTGAAGCAGAACTTGAAGCAGAACTTGAAGCAGAACTCGAGGCAGCACTGGAGGCAGATCTAGATGGTGATACTGGAGAGCTGGAAGCAGAAGTGGGCACTGCAGGAGTGGATCTTGATGTCGAAGCAGGCGTCGGTGTAGGAGTAGAAAAGATCGTATAGACAGTCACCACCTCGCTCGTGATGATCTGGGTGGAATAGCCAGTTTCGAAAGAAGTGGATGATCCGAGGCAAATATTTGTGGTATAGGCCATGAGGGCCTGATAACCCGAGGTAGACACGAACGTCGGGTTAGTGACCCACAAGAATTCACAGCTGCTCGCGGCCACATGATAGTTGATAGCATTACATTGACTAGGCACCAATTCACATAGAGCAAAGCAATCATTGAGGCGTGGCGAATCAGGTCCGTAAATAGTCAATGGTTGTGCTATTGTCCCGCCGCTGATTGAGACGCCGCCTGAGCAATATTCCTGCACATAGCGGCTTTTGGTGGACCAGATGTAGTCAGAACATGCTGCTTGGTCGCCCAGTGATGATGTCCCAACTGTACACAATGTCGAGGTGGACACAACTGCTGAGGTCGTCGTGATCACGTCAGTGATTGTGGTTATGTAGGAGGAAGTGATGGTCGTGGCAGAGGGACCAGGCAGGGCGATGCTTGCTGCCCACCCGGTCGAAGCCAGGGCTGATAGAAGCAATATTAACTTCATAGTAGAAGAGAAGAGTAATCAGACCGAAGAAGATGCAAAATCAAAAAATCAAAGTATAAAACTTTAGAGAGCGTATGAGGGCTAGTTTGGCCAGATATAAGTCGGCTCGGCAGAAATGACCTCACACAGTCTGTATTGAATACGATGTAGTCTAGCTGCTTTGGATCAACTAGTTAAAAGGCGCTGACTAGCCTGGGCTAGCACAATTAATATCAGATACACTCTGTGGGAATCTCGATCCCTAATTTTAAATCAGAATCGCCTATGGAGCAAGGTTCAGAGACCCCGTTTTGACACCAATTCGATCAATCTTGTATCTATGTGGACACATTACCATGTCGTCATGGAGATAACCTGCTAATAGAAATTCCATTCCTAGCACATTGGGATATTGTAATAATACTATATATCTTTCAATAAAGCTCAGGTGTGACTCTGGTTAAATGAATTAATGATATAACAGAAGGGCGTCCTGAAGGCATGCCGCCCCTCGGCCCAACTAACCACATATTATATCAGTCCAGCAGTAATAGGATGTTATTGGCGACACTAGAGTATGCCTCGGGCGCCCCCGAGCAACCATCGTAGCCACCTCACCGTCGCCGCGGCAGATGCCCCCTGCCGCTACTTGCATACTCTGCAGCTCCTACCCAGATATCGTAGCCAGATTCCAACTTACCTTCTGGGCTCTGTGATTAGAAATATATATTATTCTTAACTACCTCATTAGTTGATCATCTACTCTGTTGAAAGATGTTATTATATATCTAGCTAGATTCTGTATTTCCCTATTTAAGCAAGGGAATAATACTTTGAAAGTAATATATTCTTTTATACATATTCTCAACCACAACACTGGAAGTCTCTATCTCAATAGAGGTCTATATCTAGATGATTATCTATTTCTAGTTGGATATCTATGCAGATTAAACAGTGGATAGTGATACTAGGTTTCGCATTATAAGTATCTTACACCATTGATATATATATATATATTACTATGAGAAGATTCAGTCAGTTTCAGCAACTCAGTGACACGCTATATACCTGAGCTGTCTAAAATAGGTGGTTTCACCAGACATGGACTGCCAAGTGAGTGTTTGAAAGAGAGAGAATAAAGTATATATATCTTCAGGTTCTTCTCTTTCTTATTAGATGTCTTCTTCACTTTTCACTTATATCTACTGATCTAGATAAATATAGCTGGCCTTCCCTTGACAATTTAGTGAATGTGATGACTCAATTAAATGACAACTATTTTCCCCAACTTCAATATGGATGGACTCCGCCAGCGCTATACCTCAGCCAAAAGAGCATGTCAAGGAAGAAGCTTACACCAAGTCAAAGGTCTTTGGATGGGTGCTCCCTCGCCAGATAAGCAGTTTGGCCGATGAAGGCACCTGGACCAATATTGATGCCAATTTTACACCTATCAAACGCCGGACATGCTCATCCATGACTGTGTTAGGCCTCTGGTTTAGTGACGCCCTGAATGCTCAGGGTGGGAAGGCCCCAGTTCCCTACGACTGCAACTACATGTATGCCTTTGTCAGTGGACCATTTATATATTCAATTCTAAGTAAGGTCTTTCCTGCAAAGAATACGCTTATCGCGGGCACAAACTATAAGGATCCAGCTATTTTGGACTCAGTGGAGAACCATGAGGCTCACAAAGTATTTGCAGAGATAGAGGAGAAGGGGCCACTTACATGTACTGAAAACCTTTCATCTGAGGGATTGGTACAAAAATGGTATGGAAGATTTTATTTCATACAAGGAATTCCAGGTGCCCCCGGTCAGAATAAGTACGGCGACCCAAACTCGGCGCAATTTTTGGGAGAATTGCGGTTAAAGAGTGTTAGATTGAGTCGTTCTATATTCATGGTGTCAGGGAAGTGATAGATATGTCTGCTCTAATGGGTGAAGTATAGAGGTAATCAAATAAATAACACCAGAGATGCTGTCATATCCTCATTGGAGGTAGATGCAAAGATGAGAAATATTAAAATAAGTCATATAGCCACCAGAGTAAACTCTTCTTGATCTATTGGTGGGTTATTAGTATATAAGATATGACAAAGGGGATGCTAGTTATCTGTCAGCATCTAGATATAGCAGTATATAATCCAGATAAAATGACTCTATATTTGATGTTTTTCATGCAGCTTGCTCTTGCCAAAGAAGTATAACCACAGCACTATAGTAACAATGGAGATTATGATGATAATATGCTTAACCTTTAGCAAGCCCCTCTTGATGACCAGATTCATGGAGAGATCCTTGTAGCAAGGTTCTAAATAGAAAGTACAAAATAGGCTATGCTGGCCTAAATTGCACCTTACTATATTGGCAACCCTCCCTGGTGAGTATTTAGTACCAGCATCCCATAATTCGATGAGCAGTATCGATGATATGATCATTCAAATTAGACCTCTTTCCTTATTCCAGTATTACGCGGCCATTGGACAGAACCCCAACAGTTTTCAAGTAGATTAAGCTGTCTTCTCTCACTCTTTCATGTTGAAATCGTCAGTTGTATACATTAGGGCATGCTCCTAAATAAATTCTAGTAAGAGCTTAAACATCTTAAACTGCACTGCATACACCTAATGCCTAACAACAACAGCCCTTCCATAACCAACGCGTGCGAGCACTGCCTCGGCCATGGTGGCAGCATCCGGCGCAAATATGCCTGGAGCATGAGCTACCGTCTGCCCTGTACCCCAAACATTCCCAACCCTAACACCAAGTACCTCGATGTCGTGTCGCGCCACCCGCATTTCACAACCCAAACTTTCCGTCAGCTTCATCAGAAATGCCTTGCTCGCCGAATATGAGCCTGTCTTGGTCACTCCCAGATCCGCTAGCCAGCCTATGTTGATGATTAGCCCTAGCGAGCTATGGCACAGGACAGGAGTCAACTGCCTGAGTAGTAGTATAGGGAACAAGGCATTTACGCTCGCATCCGCTGTCAACCTATTGGCACTTAGGCCCCCAAGGGTATCCAGCGTTCGCTCTGCAGCTCCTCCAGCATTATTAACCAGCACGATGAGGTTTATATCTTCTAGCTGTGCTAACACGTCATCCCATATCTTACCCCCAGCTGCGTAGAAGGACTGTGCGGCGTCGACCACTAGAATACAAAACAAGCGATTAGGGAAAGCCTAGGCAAGCTCTGCTTCAGTGCGTTTCAGCTTCGCGGTGCTGCGACCGTGCAACACAACATTGAAGCCACGGCTGGCGAGTTCGAGCGCAAGATTCTTCCCGAGGCCGCCACTGGCTCCAGTGACCAACGCCCAGGCCGGCTTACCGTCTGTTTCGTGAAGGTAACGGCCCAGACTCGACAGTTCCGAATATAGCCATAGCAGAGACAGCAGTTGAATGAGGAAGCTGAAGAACGATGCGAGCCCAATTGTGGGCAACAAGCCAGTCACACTTCATATTGCCAACATCATCTTGTTTGGACTCGCAAATTTGATCATAAGAGGTAGGCGAAGAAAGCAGATTGTAGTGGGAAGAAAGAGATGTTGATACTAAAACAACGAGGTTCCTGCGCCCATAATTTGTATTTTCTCCTCAGGGCGGCGAATCAATTCATCTGCATCCTTCAAGCATAAAGCAGTGGTGATGATATCATGGGTGAGAATGGTTGCTCTAGTGTCTGCAACTAGTTATCTTGCAACCACCAATGGTCCGACGCTTTGCAGCGCAGGATCTTAACGCCTCTAATAAAAGTGAGATCAATAGGTATCAAGTAGTATAGGAGCGCAGGGTAATATTAGGCCCTGATCATACGCGAATAATAGAAATTAGTAACAATAGGAAAATCAATACGAATGGTCAAGGCAACAATGTGACCATAGCTTAATGGCCTAGTGCAAGTGATAAGTTCTAGGCAGCAGTGTCGAACTGGCCCTCAGTGCGAGTCTTGGTACAAATTTGAATGGCACAGGATCTCCAGCATAGAATAATAATATATAAAATCCACTTCTGTGGTGGCAGATGACATGTGCCTGTGCAACGTGTTCAACGCCCACCAGTTATGGACTATTTCCAGACTGTCATAGGGTTTGCAACTATGAAATAACTTATTCCATTTAATCTAAAACTAATTTTACCTCAAAGGGCAGGGATTAAAATTGGAGCTAATAATGGCAATATACAGCACTGACTAGCTAGATAACTTCTAGAGCCTAGTTACGGGCCAAATAGGTGTTATAATAGGGTTAAGCCCCGCTGCTTCGCGAATAAGGGGAAAAATCAACAGGCAAGTCCATAAAAATGGTCGAGACAACAATGTAAATCGAATCCGCATATCCGACATTGGATACCCACCTTAGCTGACTACAGGTAATAAGCACTAGGCTACATTTGAATTTTGATCCACTAGCATTGGGGTATATCTCAATCTGATTCGTTTTCATTCAGATAATGAAGTGGGTTTAGGCTCTGTAACAACAAATGATAGACTTTCTTCCGTCAGATGGTCCCATAGGACATATTAAGGGTTCATACAGAGGACTCCACATAACTAATACAGAGCAGGACCCTTAAGAGGGTAAGAATAGGTAAAAATAAGGGCTGCATAGTTGTCTTAAATAGTTGTGAATGGAATTCAGACTCTACTCTGGAGTAGAGAGGTAGTATAAAGAATTTTTATGTGCGTGCCACAAGACCGCAGAATAGAGATTGGTCACTCTACGCCCTACATATAGGTATTAATTTATTGATAAAAAATGGTTTAGGGTATACTGACTTCTTATTCCTCAGGATAGGCTTTAATGGTACACTACTGTATATATAGTACATATTATTCACAGCGAGAAGGCATCACTATCATCACCCCTGTATTGCGCTAGACTGGGCGCAGGGTCATGTTACCGACTTTCTTCTGCCTAGTCCCCTAGTGCCCAGTGCCAGTGCCTTAAGCCAAGGACTTAGCATTTGCTAAGTCTCATGGAGGAAAATTATTTAAAACCCAGCCAGACCTTCGGGGCGCCCCTCTACACAGCGTAGTTGAAATCTAATAATTATTCACTTACACCTGAACAATGTACTTTCTTCCTCTTCTCATCTTGGCCGCCACGGCCGCTAGCTCCTCCACTACCGAGATATCCATCTTTGCCGCCCACACCAATAGTTCTTCGTCCACGACCTCCATCTGGGCCGGTGTAGCAGGCAGCATTGTCTCCGCCAACTCCTATGCGACCACCATCGCCCTCGCCTGCACGGCGACGGACGACTGCACAGCCCTCAACCAATGGACCCTGACGCAAGGCCCATCTACCTTCCGCGAGATCGCAGTCGATACTACTTCCAGCGACGGGGTGGAAGTCACTATCACTGAAGTGCTCAACTGCCAGATCACAGCCAGCACGCAGGGGGCAGAGTGCACCATTACCGAGAGTGTCATAGCCGCCGTTGAAGGACAAACGGCGACGACCGCTACCTCTGAGAGTTCTACCCTTACCTCAGGTCAGGTTTATTACCAGACGCTCACCATCACAGCGGGTGTTGAGAAGCTGGCGACAACGACTGAGACAGGTGCTGCGCCAATATTGACCGGGGGACCGATGGCTGCGGCGGCGGTGGCAGTGGTTGCGGCTTTTCTTTAAGTACATAGCCTCCTTGTAAAAAGCGGGGAGCCGTGCAAGACTTACCTATTTAATACTAGCATAGATATGCACTGATCAGTATCCTTTTATTTAAGTAGTTATATTATGACTAGTTTATTATACTAAGAAGATCTCATAAGATTAAAGACTAGCTATAAAATCTAAAGTCGCCAAAGGATTACAGAAAAGTATATAACCATAACCTTGAGCAAGTACAAATGGCCTTCGGCATCACTATGGGAATCAGTTTCAATTTAATGCTTGAGATCTACCAGGTCTGGCGGGAGAAGTACTGTATCATGGCGCTGGTGGTTGAACGGATGGGCAGCAAAAAATATACATGGCTGAATTTCGTGGAGAAGAAGATTATTTCATTAGCTAACAGTGAACAGCTGTAAAGTAGTAAATCTGTATGTGGCTATTTGGATATGGTGTGTACCTTTAAGCTTGTCAGGTATATCAAAGAGCTAGCTTATATACATCCCGTTTTTACACTTTCAGTCGAGTCTACGTATACTAACTGGGTGCTTTAAGGTTTACTCTGTGGATGCTCACTAATTTGTAGCAGATTATTCACAAAGATCGAGAAGGGGGATTCTCTTTGGAATAGCGGCCTTCAACCTCGGCAAGTAGATGTGGGATCCTTCTTAGGAGAGACTTGCTCTTCAAAAAACAGGTTACTAAATATCAAGATGGTAAACTGGTCATTGTAAAAAAAAAATAATTATTAGCAGAGGTTGGCATACTAGGCTTTAATTATAGACAGCTCTCCGCAGAAGCCCCCTCATTACAAATTATGTTGCGGCCAATTCCAAGACGCCACCTCTAGGAGACATCAATGCGCGCAAAGAAATTGATAATCCCATGGAACAAGGTGTACAAACAAGACTATCCTGCGCACGGTCAAATAAAAACCTGGCGAAGGTTTTGATTCGTCTTCAAATGGGCTGGTGCTGTGTAATCCTTCCTGCTACATGTGATTACTGCTAGTAAGTTTAGTAAAGTTTATCTCATGCATGGCTTAGAGGGAAATGAGGTGATTTAATTATATATGGAGTAGTTTAGGCTTCTGATGAATATAGGCTTAAATACCATATATAAGCATGCTCAGCAGTAGACTTTAAATAAAAGCCAAACAAACAATACTATAAATTGGTTTAGCTGGGGTAGTGATTGAGAGTGTTTTTAAAGTGATTAGTCTAGCATAATATCTACTTTAAATTTCTTTTTCTAGCTAGTAGATTAGGCTGTAAAGGGTACATGCTCGTTTAGGGGTTCATAGAAGAAAGAGAGAGTGATGAGACCAAATCGTAAGTATATAGAAGATTAGTATAGTATAATTTATAATTTTTGTTGGGTAACTTAATCTTACAATAGAATAGTCTAGATGAGTTATAAGATAGTAGGTAACAGCACGCCTTGGGCAGTAGAAGAATAGTGTAGGGGGCCTTAATCTTATTGCCGGCCTAAAACTATGTGACCAGTCACAGGAGACACCACTTCCTGGTTGTAATAGGATATTTATCCTCTGATATATGATTAGCCATAAAGATGAGGGGATAAATCTCACCTAATGCAGCAAGTATGTTTCCCTACTCGGTGTGTATGTCATATGGGTCAGTGCGCATGCTTCATTAAGAACAGCAATAGCGGGCATAATGATTACTGTTTTTTTTTGATTTTTCTCAAGATGGCTGCGACCATATCTTCAGTATCTAATATAAAATCATGCCCCCCATTGCAATTATTGGCACTGGCTGCCGGTTCCCTGGCGGCGCAGACTCTCCTTCACGTCTATGGGAATTATTGCGTGAACCGACTGATGATTTGGCATCCAAACCACCGCTCGACCGCTGGAACTTCCATGGACCGAATCAAGCTACAAATAATGAGGGAAGACAGACAAAGATCAGGCGAGATAGTACCCCTGAAGCCTATTTCCTCCAGGAGGATCTCCGTGCCTTTGATGCCCCCTTCTTCAACATCTCTCCCCTGGAGGCTGCCTCGATGGATCCCCAGCAACGGCTGCTGATGGAAGTTGTCTATGAGGCCCTTGAGGGGGCCGGCCTACCGCTAGAGCGCCTGCAGGGCTCCTCAACGGGCGTGTATTGCGGCCACATGAACCATGACTATTTCGACCTGCTCAACGCCGAGCCAGACGGGCTGCCCCCATTTGCCCTCACTGGCACCCATCCCTCCATCCTGGCCAACCGCCTCTCCTATTTCTTTGACTGGAGTGGGCCATCGCTTGTCCTTGACGCCGCCTGCTCCTCCAGCCTGACGGCTCTGCACCTGGCCGCCAGCGCTCTGAACCAGGGCGACTGTTCCATGGCGGTTGTAACCGGCAGCGCCCTTATCCTGTCTCCAGACACCTCTACCTGGGCCACCCAGGCCCGTCTGCTGTCCCCTACAGGCCGCTGCCACATGTGGGATGAGGCCGCCGATGGTTACGCGCGTGGTGAGGGGGTGGCAGCAGTGGTGCTGAAGCCCCTGGCCGACGCCCTGGCAGACGGCGACCCTATAGAATGCATCATCCGGGCCACTTCCGCCAACTGTGACGGCCGGACTGCCTCCCTAAGCATGCCCAGCGCCGATGCCCACTGCCGGCTCATCCAGGCCACGTACGCCCGCGCCGGCCTGGACCCGCGGCATCCCGCCGACCGCTGCCAGTACTTTGAGGCCCATGGCACAGGCACTATAGTAGGGGACCAGACAGAGGCTGCAGGCATTGCCGCCGCGTTTTTCCCTGATAGAGAGCCTTCCCCCACCGATGAGCTGGTCTATGTCGGCTCGGTGAAGACGGTCATCGGCCATAGCGAGGCCACGGCAGGCTTGGCCGGGCTCATCAAGGCCTCCCTGGCCCTACAGCACGCCGTTATCCCCCCTAACCTCCACTTCCACAAGCTCCATGCCCATGTCGCTCCGTACGCCTCGCACCTGAGCGTGCCCACAACCGCCTTGCCCTGGCCTGATCTGCCTGTGGGCGTCCCCCGTCGGGCTTCAGTCAGTTCCTTCGGCTTCGGCGGGTCCAACGCCCATGTCATTCTAGAGAGTCATGTCGTGTCTTCTCTCCCACCCGGGGCTGGACTGACTACGCCGCAGCCGGTGATGCTTCCCTTTGTCTTCTCGGCTGCCTCGGAACGTTCCTTGGCGATTCTTCTGCGGCGATACATTGACTGGGTAGAGGAACACAAGGGGACCATTGACATCTCTGGTCTGGCAGCGTCTCTCATCTCCAAACGCTCCACGCTCACCCATCGGGTCTTTCTCACTGCGGATTCAATTCCAGCCCTGTTGGCGAGATTGAGGGACCACTGCACACAACCTACTCCAATCACCCGTCGGCTCCCTTCTTTATCCGTGGAAAAGAGGATTCTAGGCGTGTTTACTGGGCAGGGAGCACAATGGCCGCAGATGGGCCTTAAAATGGTATCACAATGTCCCCAAGCCGCCGCTTGGCTGCAGGACCTCCAACAACACTTGGATAGTCTCCCGCCCGAGTACCGGCCGGGCTTCACTCTTCTCGACGAGCTGGCTGCGCCCGCCTCCTCCTCTCGCCTCGACTCGGCGGCGGTATCGCTTCCACTGCGGACGGCGCTGCAGATCATCCAAGTGAACCTGCTGCGCGCTCTGGGGGTCCAGTTCGCGGCGGTGGTGGGCCATTCCTCGGGCGAGATCGCCGCTGCGTATGCCGCTGGGTGGCTCAATGCCGGCACTGCCATCCAGATTGCTTGGTTACGAGGAATGGCGATCGAGCGCGCCGTCTGCGCAGCCCAACCGGGCAGCATGTTGGCTGTGGACATTTCCTGGGACCAAGCCGAGGCCGTCTGCAGTGAGGAATCCTACCATAATCGGGTGGTCATTGCAGCGTACAATTCTCCGTCCAATGTGACTCTTTCGGGCGACAGCGAGGTCATCTCCGAGCTCGAATGGCTGTTCGAGAGCCTGGAATACAGCCCGAAACGTCTTGCCGTCACCAAGGCATATCACTCGCACCACATGCGACCATGTTCGGAAACCTACCTGAAGGCCATGACAGACTGCCAGATCCAAGCCAGTAACAGGTTGTCTTCTGGGAGCAAATGGTATTCCAGCGTGCATGAAGAGATGGTTATGGGACAGCCTGACGCCCAATACTGGACTGACAACTTGCTGCAACCAGTGCGTTTCTCACAGGCCCTAGCCAAGGCAATAGGAGATAACGATGGGTTCAATGCAATTATTGAGATTGGACCGCATCCTGCTCTTCGCGGGCCAAGTCTGCAGACCCTGGCCACCCAGCCGAATGAGATGCCGTACATCTCCCTCTCCCAACGCAGCACAGATGATATTGAAGCCTTGACCCTCGGCATAGGGTCCCTATGGGCGTACCTAGGAGCGACAGCCATCAATGTGGATTCCTTTATCAGACAGGTTCTCCCCTCCTCACAACCGCTTCACAGCAATCCTCCTCTCCCAACCTATCCCTTTGATCACAGTCAGACGTACTGGACTCTCCCGCGACTGTCAATTGCCCGGACCTGCCTCTCAAGGCCCAAACACCCTTATCTTGGTGCTCCCACTCCAGAGACAGGAGAGGGAGAGTGGCGCTGGCGGCATGTCCTGCAAGGCGCCGACACCCTGGACTGGATCCAGGGACACCAGATACAATCACAGACCATTCTTCCTGCCTCGGCGTGGCTAGTAATGGTTTTTGAGGCGGCTCGACTGATTGCTGAAGAAGACAACCTGCGACCTCAGTCAATAGAGGTTCGCGATCTCGCCATTGAGAGGGCACTCGTTATACCCCCGGAAGATATCGTCGAGACTCTCTTCACAGTGACCGAGATCACCGGGGAGGAGAATGATAAGACACACTTGGCCGCAACATTCACTTGTCAGGCCGTTTTGAATGGCCGATTCCGACGCTGTGCATCTGGCCGCTTCAAGATCGCTCGCGGGAAACGTGATGATGGTGAAGATACGGCAATACATCAAAGGGAGCCTGCTGCTCTAAAGTCCATCAGTCCAGATCACTTTTATACTGAGCTGCACAAGCTCGGCTATCATTACTCGGGTCTCTTTCGCTCCCTGACAGACATTCGGCGGCGTCGAGATCTGGCTGTGGGAACAGTCACCGCACTGGATCATCTGTATGAAGACGATCTTTGCATCCACCCGGCCACGCTGGACGTTAGTCTGCATACCCTGCTAGGGGCCATTGGATACCCAGGGGACGGTCAAATCTCTGGTCTCTATCTTCCAACCTACATAGAGCGTGCAAGTATAAACCTGACCTGGAGGTGTCGCGGTCAGCTCACCGTTCAGGCAACGCTGTCTCCAGATAGCCTTTTATCTGGGGGCGTGACTATTTTTGACTCCCAAGGACGGAACTGCATCCAAGTTGAGGGCCTACAGTTATCACAACTCACAGAAGCCAGCTATAAAGAGTGGCCGATGTTCGCAGAGGAAGTCTGGGGTCCCTTGCTGCCGTCGCTGCCTTCTACCACTTCTTCCTCCTCCATAGTTGATCATCTTGCCCTTCTATACTTACGCGAGGTAGCCCTCAAGTTAACTGATGAAGACCGCCAACGAGTGGAAAGACACAGAGTGCGGTGTATGGAATGGATGGATCACATCATGGTGACAGTTTGCTCAGGGAAGCACCCGATATTTTCACCTGACTCTCTAGAGAGCGATATGACCTCAGTCCTACCACTTGCAAGGCAACAGGTCCGGCCAGAAGTGGTCCAGACTTTAGAAATGGTCAAGAGTAACCTGGCGGACTGGCTGCGAGGTGACAAGGATGTCTTATTAGATCATAACCCTAGTCGAGACGAACTGATTCTTCGTCTTGATCCTGAATCTATCCACGCTCTGGCCACTGTTATCAAGCAACTGGTTTTCCGGTACCCGCGCATGAGAATATTGCAAGTTGGAGCCGGCGATGGGGTTATCACTCGCCAGATTCTAGACCAGATCAGGGAGAACTATCACTCTTACACGTTCACCGACATATCGGCAGTCTTGGTCCAGAAGGCCCAGGAGGAGCCAGTAGACCGTTTTGTCTATAAGACTTTGAATTGTGAGCAGGATATCACTGAACAGGGCTTCAAGGAGCATGAATATGACCTTGTGATTATCAGTGATATTTTCTATCGCCTTATCGAGAGCACCTTGGCCAACCTTGCCCGTCTACTCAAACCCGGTGGCAGACTGGCGGTTTTAACCATCGCGGATCCTGATTCCATTGCCTGGCATCTTATCCTTAGCGGGATGGAGCAATCATCGCTGGAGAGGGTCCATTTCAATGGCAGTCAAACATGGGTCGACTTGCTGGAGAAAACTGGCTTCAATAATGGCATGGAGACAACCCTAAACCCTAACCCTAACCCTAACTCAGCCAACCTTCCAGGCATGTCTGTCTTCACTGCCCAAGCAGTGGACGAGAAGCTCCAGAGGATGCAAAACCCTCTCGCTGCCATACATGATCAACAACAATATCCAGACCTCATCCTAGTTGGGGGTTCCACAGCAAGCACCGCCGAGCTACTTGCTGATATCAGAACTCTACTCGCACCATTCTTCTCGCGCATCACGGCGGTGACTACAGTGGAAGCCTGTAACCTCCCTCCAGACATCTCATTAGCTGTCGTTTTGGTTACCTGTGATATGGACAGCCCGTGTCTGCACTCACCCACTGCGGACCGTCTGCGTGGTTTGAAGGATATAATCCGCGTATCAGGCCGGATGTTGTGGCTCGCCATGAGCAATGATCTTCAGGCAGACCCATTGCTACGCATGAGTAAGGGGTTTTTACGCTCGTTAGCATTTGAGAATCCACATATTGTGTTCCAGCATCTCACCATGGAAGATGCGTTAACTGCCGCCTCCCCCGAGTTCGTCGTGTCAGCTCTCCTGCGCCTGCTTTATGTGAATGTTGAGGCCGATTATCATCCCTTCTCGTGCATAGAGAGCGTCGAGCCGGAACTCCTGCTCAAGAACGGTGTCTTGAGAATTCCACGCATACAAAGCAACAGATCCATGAACAGCCGCTGGCTGGCCAGTCGAGGGTCTGTCCAAATGAACAGCTCAGACACCAATACCATCTCCGCCAGTCACCTCATCCACTTGAGCCCACACAGAACCTATCTCCTGGCCGGGATGACAGGTGATCTCGGTTGCTCATTGTGTCAATGGATGATCACTCGTGGAGCTCGCTCCCTTGTCCTCGCTAGCCGTTCTCCCAAGGTTGATGCCGAATGGCTAGCTGAGATGGGTTCCCTAGGTGCTTCCGTAGTGGCCATGTCTATGGACCTCTCAGATCGTCCTTCCGTCCTCCAGGTCCATGCACGGATTAAGTCCGAATTACCTCCTCTCGGCGGTATTGTCCAAGGAGCGATGGTCCTGCGTGACACTGCCTTTGGCGATGCAACCCTAGAAGACATCCAGGCGGTCCTGGCGCCCAAAGTCCAGGGCAGCCAGATCCTCAATGAGCTCCATCAAAATACAGACCTTGATTTCTTCCTCCTCATCGGTTCAATCTCCGGACCCGCAGGCAACTTCCACCAGACAGCCTATTCTGCCGCAACGGAATTCATGGCTGGGCTTATACATCAGCGCCGCCGTCGCGGTCAGGTAGGCAGTATCATCCACCCCTCTCAGCTGTGTGGCGTCGGATACCTGGCGGGCCTGGATGCTCAGCACAGGAACACCCTGACCGACCGAATGGGCTCTTTTGTCCTGTCGGAACGGGACTTTCTCGAACTCGTCGCCGAGGGTATCCTCGCCGGGAAGCCAGGCTCTGGGCGGTCGCCGGAGATCATGGGCGGCCATCGCATGGTCGATCTGGCCGAATTCCCCGACGCGATGTTGTACCGCAACCCGAAATACTGGCCGTTTTTCCGGCAGTCAGGAGTCGTAGAGAACCAGCAGGAGCAGCATCAGGCAGTTCAACCGATCAAAGCACAGATCGCTGCCGCAGCCAACCTCCCTGCCGCTACAGAGATCATTGCCAACAACTTCCTGGATCGCCTGCGTCGGAAGCTGCGTCTGCCTCCGGATGCCGTTCTCTCGTGGGAGACCTTGTTGACCGAGGTGGGCGTCGACTCGATCCTCGCCGTCGACCTTCGCTCTTGGTTCCTCACGGAGCTGGGCGTCGATATTGCAGTGTTGCAGCTGTTGGGGGGGTCCATTGAAGCTCTCGTGAAGAGCGCTGTGCAAAAGCTTGGTTTGACGGACGCTTTAGCTGATCCGTAGTTGATTTTATATTGTAAGAATAATTCAACAATCTCTTAGAACTGTATCTATAAGATGGGAGTATACTATGAACCTTGAACTCATTGGCCAGTGGTGATAATCTGACAAATATGAAACCTGGCCTATAGGCTGCCTGTCAGCATTCTTGCTGCATTATAAAGCTCTCACTGCCCAGTGTCCATAAGGACAGCCGTCATCATTCTTACAATGGCCTCCCACGACGTCGTCTCATTTGCCCTGGATGTCCAGAGAGAGTACGATCCTTCACAGCCATTACTCATTGACGCCAATCACCCTGATAGATCTCTAAATGGCGCCCAGATATCCTTGTTGGTCCGTACCTTGATTGCTGGCCTCACGGCTCAGGGACTTGAAAAGGGAGACTGTGTCCTGGTGAATATGGGGAATAATGTACCTCTTCCATTTTTATCTTCTTTTTTCACTTCTTTCTAATGGAATAGGTCTTGTATCCGCCACTCTTCCTAGCTATAATCGGCGCAGGTGGAGTCTATATAGGCTCCAATCCCCGTATCCCACCTGATGAAGTGGACCAGATGGTGAAATTGAGCCGGGCTCGGTGGATTATCACTGAACAGGACAGCCTTTCTACCATAAAAGGCATTGCCGACAAGAACCGGATCAATCACATTTTTATCATTGATGAGGCAGATATCACAACCACCATTGCCGTGATACAGGGGACAATAAGCCTCTTACCCCAGGCAAATTCAGATCCTACTTCGTTCCTCTCCCTTCTTAATTTTGGAACCGGCGATCCAGTCTTGATTGCCGATGAAGAAATGGCCAGATCTACCCCTGCTGCACTATACACTACGAGCGGGACGACAGGGCTCCCCAAAGCAGCAGTTCTTTCGCACGCCTCGTTCATTTCCCAGCATCACTCAATAGTAGGAACGAGCCCACCGCCGTATGCTATCAGACGCCTCGTCTGCCTGCCATTCTATCATGGATTTAGTGCAGTCTTCACGCACCTGTTCCCCGTCCGATATGGATATCCCTTCTACATCCTGCCTGACTTCCAGCTACCAGTCTTCCTGAGGGCAGTGCAACGATATGCCATCACTGAAACATACCTCGTCCCTGCAATGATATATATACTCAATCAGGCGCCTGAAGGGCTGCAGGTCTCCATTGCATTGGCATCAATGCGATACATTGGCATATCAGGGGCTCCCATCGATCCAGCCGCCATGGCATACCTGCAGGATAATCACTTACATCCACACGCGTGTGCAGGCCAGATATGGGGCATGACGGAGACGGCACTCGTCTTTCAGAACCGATACCCAGCCTCTGGCCGACGAGAAGACCAGGGGGATTTAAGAAGTATTGGCACCCTCGCAACCAGATGGGAGGTGAAGATTGGAGAAGCAAAAAAAGAAGCTTCCATCCAGGAACTGGTGCCCGGTCAACTTTACGTCCGCGGGCCAGGCCTGGTCAGTGGGTATCTAGGCCATACCGAGCCATTTGTCGACAGTCAGGGATGGTTCGCAACAGGTGATCTAGCTTATGTTGATGAAAAGCAGCAATACTTCATTCTTGGCCGAACAAAGGAGTTGATTAAAGTGAGGGGGTGAGTAAACCTTTCGACACCTGGGGTTACGCTTATGCTTATGCATGGAATGCACATTCAGGTACTCCATCTCCCCCGGTGAGATTGAAAATGTCCTGCTGAAACACCCGGGCATTGCTGACGCTGCTGTCATGGGTATCACCCTTCCTGATGGCACGTCGGAAGCCCCGCGCGCGTATGTAGTACAGGGTGAGGATATAAAACTCACATCGCATCAAGTGTATGAGTTTGTGCAGCAACAGATGGCTAGTTATAAAACACTGGATGGCGGGGTGGTTTTTGTGGAGAGTATTCCCCGCACGGTGACGGGTAAAGTGCGTAGGGGGGAGTTGACCAGATTGAATGGGCGGAGAGAGGCATTGGCTGGTTTGTTAGGAGGAAGAGGGCACTCTGGATGAGTTCAAGTATTCTTCATTAAGCAAGGGTAGATGGCAGTACTAGGGTTTAGGGTTAGGGTTAGGATTTAGGGTTATCGCTCACTGGGATCTCTGTCATCAGCTGTGCTGGGATGCGCCACCAAGGCTTAAATAGTAAGCTAAACTCCTAGTACCCATGACCGCTCTATATATTTCATCGGGTGTGGTTGATCTTGGACTGGCTACTAAAATTATTTAAAGATGGACACCTCAGTTGGGCCCTGTGTGGTATCTTAGGTTATCAAGTGAAAATGAAGCAGGGTCATATTCCTATATATTGGAATAACTAAGAGAGTCTTATAACTCTGTCATTTACAACTGAGACAAAAATAGTAGTTCTCAGGATAAAGCAATCTCAGCGAGTTTTCAATATCTCATAAAGTCCGGAGGTTATGCCAAGCACTAACTAATCCTGGCTATCTTCATTTCCAAGACCGAGACAACCCCGCTTTCCGTCGTTGTGGCGTTTCGCCGAAGTTGCCCTTCCTGATCCAGCCCAGATATAGATAGAAGCTGTCTAAAGCTGTACTGACCTTGATCTCAAGAGAGGTCAGCCCATTCAGATTTGGGCCGCCATGAGTTTAAATAGTAAGTACAGACTCTGTGATAAATCTACCAAGTCTTTACAGTGTAGAGAGCGGGGCTAGCTTACAGTCACTTGGTATGCAGATATACATCCTTAGAGTATATGACTCACACAATGATAAGAGCATAATTATTCACTAATAGCCATGTCCCTCATCTAGAAGAATAGAAAAATAATAATAATAATAAGTTGTTATAAAGGTCTTTTCATTAGTAAATCCTTACTATCTACTTTAGAGGTTACTATATGCCGATCTGCGGACTGCTAATACTATACTAGTGACTATATAGTAGTGCATGTAAAGACGGTACTTTTGCCAATGTCTAAATCAGCTAACTAGTTAGCTAATGCAACATGACTGGGGCTATAAGTAGCCAGCGTGGCCTGCCTCCGCAATCCCAAAAATCCATTTATTTCCTAAACCCACCTATTGTGATTATGTCTTCTAACACCACTAATGAGGTTATACTTGTCCCGGATGATCTCCATGATGAAAGCGAAAACGTTTCCCTGACCTCTGGTGGGACAGACTACACATCGCTTCGATCGAGCGTCTTAGACTATGAGTATGTTATTCTATTTGGACTTTCTATCAAGTTACTTGTCAGTATATTGATAGTATAGATACGACAATGGCCGCCGATACCAGAACTACCGCAAGGGGGAATATCTGTTTGTAAGTTTACCCTTATTAATTTAAATACTCTATTAACTTTATAGCCTAATGATGATGATGAGCAAGATCGGATGGACTTCCTGCACCATATCTACGGCATGGTGCTAGGCGGCGAGCTGCACATTGCGCCAATTTCGAATGTTCAGCGCGCACTAGATATCGGTACAGGAACAGGTATCTGGGCAATGGACTTTGCTGAGTATTCGCCCTTGACCCTTTTTCTTAGTATTATATCATACCAATTAATCAGTCAACATCCCAGCGCACAAGTCATTGGAAACGATCTGAGCCCTATTCAACCTGGATGGTAAGCAAATACATAGTCTTTTATTCTTATAGATAAGAAACTAATTGTCATTATAGGGTCCCCCCGAACTGCGTCTTTGAAGTCGACGATTTTGAAGCATCATGGGAATATAGCTCCCCTTTTGACTATATCCATGGCCGCGAGCTTGCTGGAGCAATTAAGGATATTAATCATCTAGCAAGCAAAGCCTTTAACAACCTTAAACCTGGGGGATACTTAGAGCTTCAATCTTTCAATTTCAAGTACTTTTCAGATGACAATTCCCTCGAGGAAAGGGGGCCCTATCTAACTCAGCTGGGTGGCCTAGTTAAGGAAGCAGGCGAGAGGTTTGGCAAGACAATGCAGGATATGGATACCTGGGGTGAAGCATTCAAGGCTGCTGGCTTTGTTGATGTGGTCACTAAGATGATCAAGGTTCCAGTTGGTCCCTGGCCAAAGGACAAAAAGCAGAAGATCATTGGGATGTACATGCAATCTCAAGTGAATCAGGCTGTAGGCTCTTTGCTTCCTGGGATTCTGGGGAAAGGGTTGGGATGGCCAAATGAGGAAGTGGCTGTTATGGCGGCAAGGCTGCGAAATGAGATTGCTGATGCGTCTATCCATCAATATGCAAAAATGTATCTAATTTATGGTAAAAAGCCCTAGGCATGGTTACTGAGCAAGAATGAAGGAGCTTGGGCTTTCAGTTCCATGGGTCTAATTATATGCAAGCATGATTATTATTCATAAAAATAGATATCTAGTAGCAAGATATGGTACTTCCCATCATAAGCTATATTTATCTATAAAATAAGATGGCTGTCACCCCCAAACCAGCAGACCACAAAGCAAGGAAGTAGGATATCAAGCAAGAACTCACCAGACTTATTAAACCAACCCACATGTTTCAGGTTGTGGCAGGAAAAGGTTGCTCTCTAGGCTACTAGTTAGGGGAGACTCGAATGCATTGTGACCTGCCACACTGGGTCTAATATAGTGTCAGCTAAATAATGGAAAGATTTTCCCTATACTGGGCCAATAATGGCACATATATTGAACTGACTAACTGGATAACCTTTAGGGCCGAATTTTATCTATATAGTGGGTGCACAGTAAGATGAGGCCTTGATCATACGTACTACTAAATATGGAATTACTAATGCCAAAAGAGAAAGCAATAAGGAAGATCAAGTTAATAATATACTCCTAACCATATATCCGACATTAGAGATCCGTATATCAACCGTAAGATCAATCTTACATCGCTTGACAGGATTATTCAGCCCATCAATGAGTACTGGGAGAGATGTAAGATTCTATCAGCTTATATTATGATATTTCAAACTTATTCCTTTCCCATAGCGCCTGAACTTGCTCCCCATGTTTTATCTGGCGGTCAGGGATTCACCACGAGTGACGGCCACGTATTGCGTATTTGCTTTCCTGTCTAGACTTTAGACTCAAAAGATGGTTCCGGTCGATGATCCTTGGCCTGGAATACAGTGCAAACGACATCTACTTTATTGCCGCATGAGCCAGCACAATTTTTCAAAAATGCTGAAAATCTTGGTTCGGGATTTGTGGTAGAAGTAGGTGAGTGCATGAAGCTGGAGTGGTCAACTGTTGAATTCATGGGCAATCGCTGGCTAGTCATCAAATATATAATAGATAAAGGGCTGTTGATAACAGAACCATTATGGTGCAAGGACACTGCCAGTGTATAATAGATAGGTATTGATAGAAGATGATGCCAAAAATGGTCTACTATTAATCTCAATATAAAGCTCACTATATAAGAACTAGAATATATGTAGTGGCAGGATAACAGTATAATATAGAAAGACCTATCCACACAGCCAGGAGGAGAAAAGGTTCAGATTAGAAAGTGTCTCCAGTTTAGAGGGGGAAAACTGGCTCTGAAAAAACCCAGGCCGGCGTGCTTATGGGACCATTTAAAGACATACCTGTCTACTGCCTGAGCGATCATATCTAGATTCAGAGGGCCCTCAATGGCGTGGAGGATTCAATAAAGAAACCGGATGACGGCTCTCAGGGTGAAAGAGTTTCTAAATTTAAGGAGCCTAATCCCAGATACTTAGTCAAGACTTGGGAGAGGGAAAGGGTACTTATTTCATGCAACATAGAGGACCTGTGAAAGGAAAACTTGAAACACTTCATAGTGTGACTAGTTTATTCTTATGCTAAAGAGAGCATATAAGAGTTTTAGGCTAGACTATATATGTAATGAAATTGGCCCCAGTGTCTAATGTCTAATTGATTTCTACAGACTAACTAGTTGCCATGAATGTTATTCCTAATCTATCAAACTATTATTTCATAGTATCATCACATATTAGGGTGATAGAAACTATTATATATATGTGTTTTTACTAAATTAACTATTTATAAAGTAATAACTAATAATTCATCACCAAAAACAACTTCCCCGTTGAATACTTCCCCTGCCCATCTAATTTCCTCATCTCTATTTGCTCCCCCTGCTTGATGCGTCAGAACAAGCCGCTTCACCTCGGCATCGGCTGCAATCCGGCCTGCGTCCCGCGAATCTGTCACCCCGGCCATAGCAGTATATGATGACCTGTTATCCCCCAATGCCATACAAAAGAGGATATCTGCTCCCTTCGCCAGCTCAACTATACTCTTGCAATACTCTGTATCGCCTGAGAATACCACCGATCCAGCTGGGGTATCAAACCGATACGCCAAACAGTCCAAGTACGGCTGTGCGTGTGCAGCATATCCGGCGGTCACTGTCGCGGAACCAACGGTCATAACATATCCGGGCACAATATCCATAGCATGATATGCAGGCGGTTGACGGGGCAACGTGCCCCCGTTAGAAGTGTAGATATTTGTACAGGTCGACCAGTGCATGCGTGAGTAATAGTCAGGTTGGTAGGCACCGTGAGGGCCGATTAAACGCTCGATAAAGGTGGTAGTGGGAGAAGGCCCATAGATACAAATGGGTTTATTAGAAACCTACTTATCAGTTTGTATCATGAGGGAAGCATGTAGTTATGTATACCAATTTATCCCATCTAGATAACAGAAAACAAGGCACATCTCCATTATGGTCATAGTGGTGATGGGTCAGAAACAAGGTGGACACATTTGCCGGGGAATACCCCGCCAAAGCCAGTTTCAACGTCGCGGCGGGGCCACAGTCGATCAGGATCACGTCTTCATCCTCGATCTGCAGGGCAAAGGCGGTACCGAACCGAGAGGCGGAGGGTGTGGGGGTCCCACTGCAAAGAAGTGAAATAGTTGTCATGATGGTAGTAGGTTATGAAGAATATATGACTTACATGATGAGAGAAGTTGGGAGTAGTATATATAAAAATACAATTTAACTAGTGCTCACTGTTTATTACTAATTAGATAAAAATCAGTTGCTCTTTAACTAGTAGATATACTCCATAACTATATACTAGGTAATAACCATACTGTCCTCTATATATATCTGTCCTTAGGTATGTGCCTTAACATGGTGTTACTGTTTACCCATCAGGCTGATTATAACTAATAAATCATAATTACTGCCTCCCATAGTGAGTGTTTATAGAAGGGCTATATTAATGCTATTTATGTCATTTCTGCTTTTTATATAAGCCATTTTACTAATTTATGGTATCAGCTGATCAGCTCAAGCTAGACGTGAAGGATACCTAAATAGTCACTCAGCTAGATATCAGTGCTAGGGAGTCGGCACCACATCCTGGTGGGAATTGACTTGCAATACTATGCCCTAATAATTTTAAGTCTGCTATATACCCTCTATACATATCTTCAGGGCAAGCCTCTTCGACCTGAAGCATCTGCTGATAGCCCACTACATAGATTTAAGCTTATCTAGGAAGTCAGGTCATCTTAAATGAGCTATCAGTCAACTGTCATTGGCATAGCATGCCCATATAAGCGCAACTATGAAGACATTCATATTATACATTTAGAGAATATGTATAAAGGTAATAAGGCATATTTTCTCAGTGCATAAGTTAGTAAATAATATTTAAACTTACTATATCTCTATCTAACATGAGATATGCTACCTAGGTAGTGGATATGGTGTGCTGCCCCTGGAAATGCTACTATTCTTGCGCTTTTCTTTCTCCAGACTGGGTGAGCTGAAAAGCGGAGTATGGTCCAATCATGATGGTAATAATTTACCCTTTGCAAACATTGATATGGGCCTGGCCCATCAAGATAAGCATAGCCGATACTAGGTAGATACAGTGTTGGCCCGGAGAGCATCCCCTACAGCCATCAGCAATATTACTGTGCTACCAATCTTGGTCGCAAATCATGCGCACTTGGCAGATGTTTGGTGCCTTGAATAGCTAGAAGCAATCAATCGGTATCCAGTAATAAGCCCCATCAAGGCTCAGGATTTATTAATTCTTTCAGCTTATCAGGGATGATTTGAGTTTAAATTTCTAAAAGGTGGAAGCAGTACAGAAGATAACAGAAATAGTTACCCGCCACATATAGGAAGGATGCGGGCGTAATCTGCATTGATGCGGATGTGTTTAATAAAGCCGCTGTTATCTCGGATCGGTTCCTCCAGGCGGGTCGGGGGAGATCCTGTCAAGGCCCATGGATACAATCCCTTTCCCTGCTGATAACTGGGCCTTTCATAAAGGTCTTGTCTCGTTCCCTGGATCTCCACAGAACGGAGAGTTAGCCCTGCTGCAATCCAATCTACAGGAACAAACCATACGGATCATTATGGAGTCGGGCGATACCAAAGAAATTGTCATCGAGCCGTGCCGGTCGAATGGCAGTCCGGATGAGGGAGTGCTGGAAGAGAAGGGAGTCTTCCGCCATTCACCCAATGGCCCTGATTTTCGAGCTGTGAGCTGGCAGCGCGCCACCATTATCTTCCTCAAGATCCAGTTCGCGATGAGCATCCTGAGTGTCCCCGAGTCCCTGGCGACCCTGGGCGCCGTGGGCGGAGCGCTGTCAATTGTGGGCTGGGAAGTCCTGAATACCTGTCCGTCCTGGTGTTCGCCTTTTCTCCTCCGATCTGATGCTGATTGCTAGCTCTAGATACTGCGGTGATTTTGGGCGAGTTCCGCAATCGACATCCAGAATGCCACAGTGGGTTTCCCATTCTCTTAGGCTGAGCAACTCGCTCATCGTGTCGGCTCTCCTCCTGACTTGATTGAACCATCTTCCAGCGCTCTCTGATATGTGTGGCGTGGTGTTGCCTCGCGTGGGCAGGGAGCTGGTGGGCATTCAGATTCTCGTCGCTCAAGTCATCATCACCGCCGCCGGGATTGTCTCCATCTCGACTGCCTTCAACGCCCTCTCCCACCACAGCACCTGCACCGTCGCCTTCAACGCGATCGCTGCGATCCTCATCACCAGATTCTCCTCGATCCGCACCCTGGCCCATCTCGGGTGGATCACCTGGGTGGGATTTGCCACATTCTTCATTGCCATCTTCATCTTCGTCATGTCGGTGACCCAGCTAGACAGGCCAGTTGGGGCACCCGCAACCGGCGAGTTTGACCTGGGATGGATAGCCATCGCATCTCCGACCTTTACCGCTGGCATGCTCACGACGGCCAACATCTTCATCTCCAGCAGCAGGTCGTCGATGTATCTCCCGGTCATCTCCGAGATGCGGCGTCCCAGCAAGTACCAGAAAGCGGCATTGCTGGCCGGGGCTATCATTAGAGTCCTGTACCTGACATTTTCCCTGGTGGTGTATCGCTGGTGTGGGCAGTAGATTGCCACCCCTGCGTTCGGCAGCGGTGGGCCATTGTTTAAGAAGCTCTGCTACGGGCTGGCCCTGCCCGGCTTGGTCATCGGGGTCGGCATTTACCAGCATGTGGCGGCGAAGCTGATCTTTGTGCGACTGCTGCGCGATTCGCACCATCTCCAGGAGAATACAGCAGTACATTGGATAACCTGGCTGGGGGCAAACCTGCTGCTTGGAGTCCTGGGATTTGTGATTGCTGAAGCCGTCCCCATCCTCAATTATCTTCTCGGCCTTGCGGGCTCCCTGTGCTTTGCACCATTTAGTCTCATGTATCCGGCGATGCTCTGGATGTACGACTTTAGAGCCTGGCGGCATGGCACCAAATCAAAGCAAGCCATATATTGGCTGCATGCTTTTATTATTCTGCTTGGCGGGTTCATGGTTATTGGCGGAACGTAAGTTTGCCCCTACAAACCTGTGGTCGGGGGGGTGGGGGTCCAACCCAGCTAACACTCCATCAGTTACAGTGTGGCAGTGACACTTCGCGAGGCATATGCGGATGGGAGTATCGGCAAGCCTTTCAGCTGTGCGGATAACTCAGGATCGTAAAGTGGCTCCATGCTTGATGGGAGGAATACGCTCATCTATTCAGTCCTTTTCCTTTTTCTTGTCCTTATGCCGGACTTCAAATCTCTTTGGAATGCAGATGTAGACGGTAGATCTCCCTCCTAGCTTGCAAAGGAGTATGAGCCATTGAATATAGCTTTTGTCCATCCTTGACTTGGTTAATGCTCAAAGAAGCTTCCTAGCTCATTTCAAAGTACCATTCACTGAGTGAATAAGCCCAAGTCCGAACCCTACACCGCTATATCTGAAAGGAACTTGACGACTATAGACATGTAGTATACTGAGACCTCATACACTAGAATCAAGTCCAGATCAACAAGAACAACAATCCGAGGGACTAGTGAGTTGAAAGGTTATTGGCATTACTATACTATTCATTTAACAGTAGTTTGATATTCTGAGTCTGCTTGAAGTTGGTATTAGATACAAGAGTCATCCTATCAACCCAGTCTAATGATTCAAAATAAATCTGTCAGGTCATGGGTCCAAAGCATCCCGCAGCAACTCATGATATGCTTTTAAATCACCCAACTACTACATATGAGTATAGGACCCCATTAAGGACCCAGCACATGACGCGAAGCGCCTAAGCAGGCCAGCCACCTGTCTATCATGGTCTGAGCTGCTTAGCCAGAACTAGCCACTTCATATTCATCAAGAATTCTAGAGATTCCATTAGTCTAGAACCAAGAACATGGGTTAATCCTAACCATATAGGTTAGGTTAGGGTAACCTGGCGCCTCGCCCAACCTCAGGTAGCCCACAGGCGCGTTTAATAAGTATAGTTGGGTATTAGAATTGATTAATTTATGGCTGAAAAGGTTTTGACTAATAAGCCCCTGAAAAGACTAATAAGCGTATGGTAATAACCAAGTTAACCTGGTCATACTCTATAGAGTATAGAGTATATCTGTCAGTTAATACACTAGTTGAGCCTTCACTCTATTATATTATACTTAAGACCCACTTTGATGCCCAGTTGCTGACTATATTTTATAAAATAAGATAGCTTAATCACTACACAGAGAAGGTATCTAAAGAATCTAATATATGGATAATAATACACTCTATAGCTCATCTAACACCATATCTCCAACACATAGATGCAGATTAGCCTGACAAATTGGCGGATTGAAAATGAACATAAATAGCCACTAATCATGGACCATCATAATATTATGACTGATACTAGTAATATACAGCTTCTTATGGATTAAATGCACAATGTACTCCATAGACTACAAATATATAGATTATTTAATATAGCACCACTGATTCAAATTTAGTTAGGCTAGATGTCCTATATACTAAATATTAATATAGGCTATAGACTATAAGCTATATTTCCTCTAAGTTAGTTGGTATTAGTCCTTACTTTTGCCTTAATAAACTATTTTTCAGCTAGATAGAGCAGGGATCACCCCTATTCAAAGCCAATAATAATAGATATATTCTGACTAACTAGACAACCTTTAGGGCCGAATACAGTCCTTTAAAAATGAGTGCATAGAAGGGCTAGACCCTGATCATACAGGAATAAGAGAAATGTCAATAAAAGATGTCAATAAATGGTCAAACTGATGACATAAAGAAAGCTATATATCCAACATGGGATATCTGTTTCTCTGCTGTAGCTGTCACTATTCTAGGTAGAGAGATATATGTAGTTCCTACATAAATATAAAGATTATAATAAATTATAATCATCTAGAGGTGCATCCTATTATTGCCACTAGTTAGTTTAATTATAGATGCAAATTAGTCATTATCATAGCCATGAGCTTCCCAGGAAGGGTATATACTCCATATATCCGGCGGAGATAACCGTAGAACTATGGCCAGATAAGATAGGATATCAGCCAGCGATGCTCCATATGGCCAAGTGGTTAAAACAGCCCCTACAGAGGAGAGGAATTTCTGATAGATGCGGGGGTTCGGCCCGTGCACCTCTGACATCCTTCCAACAGCAGAAAAATAATAAAAAGCAGCCATCTTCACAAAGGATTGGAATGACCCTTTTCCCCTGTCCTGCTCCCAGCCTTCCCTTCCCTTTCCTTCATTTTCTTCCCACCTCCACTATGACGTCCATTCAATTCGAGCCCGTCCAGTTGACCCCCCGCCTGGCGATCCAGGCCCCGCTCTCACGCCAGGGCCATGGGCCCGGAATGCTGATTGTGCGGAGCGCTATCGCGCCGGAACAGGCGCAGAAGCACGAGACGCTCGACCCGGACCCACTACAAAAGTGGGCGGAAGAAAGCTACGTTGTAGCTCAGATTGAGGCTTCTGAGGACCACGCGACGATCAGGGAGGACATCCACGCGGCAGTCAAGGCGCTGGAGAGCCATGAGAAATGCAGCAAGCCGGGCGCAATTGGGCTGGTAGGTGAGCCTGCCAGACAGCAGGGGCAGTTGTGTCCCTGTCCACCCCCCGTCGCCATGGGCATCAACTCACGGTCACAGTGTACGGCCCCCTGAGCATCCCTGGCCTGACGGAAGCCATCGACACATGCGACGAGATCATGGCGGTGGTCTCCTACGGCGCTCTGCCCACGACCCCGCGCAAACCGCATCTCTACCACCTGTGCGGAGCTGGCGCCAAGACAGTCGGCAACAACGGCACCATCTACCACTACCCGGAGGCAGCGTCGCCGGCCTTTGTGGTCCCGTCGCACCGGGACTTCTTGCCCGCCGCGGCGGCTGTCGCGCACACGCGCTGCCTTGAGCTGCTGAAAAAGCAGCTCGACGGGCCATGGTTTGACCTGGAATCCATCTGGGAGGAACACACGCGGTATGAGTTTGATGAGCGATCGGTGCCGGCGACGATGGCCACCATGGTCGCGGAGCCTTATGTCAATCATATCCCGACCATGACAGGCGGGGTAGGGCGCAAACTACTCACTTCCTTCTACGCGAAACACTTTATCTTTAACAACCCGGAAGACACGGCGCTGGAGCTTGTCAGCCGCACGATCGGCATCGACCGCGTCGTCGACGAGTTCATCACCTCCTTTACCCACGACATGATGGTTGACTGGCTGTAAGTTAGCCTTGGGTGTATGCAGATGTGTCCATGTATATCGACACTAACGCTGGGCAGACTCCCTGGGGTGCCACCGACTGGGAAGAAACTCCGGATCCCCTTTATGGCCGTGGTCAACATCCGGGGCGACAGACTATACCACGAACACATTACCTGGGACCAGCTCACCGTCCTGGTGCAGCTGGGCCTAATGCCCGAATACCTGCCGATCCCGTACGCCCTGCCGCAGGGCCCGCCAGCCCCGCCGGCGGGGAAGCTGGAGTACCGCGTGCCGGGGGCGGGGGTGGAGACAGCCCTGAAGATGGTCGACGAGAGCAGTGTCCCGTCAAACGAAATGTTTCAGTTTGGTGTGCGGGAGGCCCAGTGATTCTGATACAGTCTATACAATGGCCACAGGGATGAAGTACATATTGTAAACCCAAATCTCAATTCGGCTATTTTACACCAGAAGCTAGCAAGATCAAGTTGTAAATATGCGAGAATAATGCCTTCAAATCAAGTTCCATTGAGCGTGCTTGCTACTATTGTCGTGGATCTGGCTAGATATTAAGTAAGCCAGGGATTAAAAATTATGGGAAACATGCAGTAGTTAAGGTACAAAGATTATTCCTAAGAAGTTTATGTCTAGTATTAAATGTCCTAGTGCCTTTCCAGATATATATCTACATAGATAGTATAAAGAGCTTTAAGGAAGGTTAATCTGGGTGCACTATATAGATGTATTAATATAATTATATGTTATAAATATTTTTAGTAAATATTATTTTATATTCTTAGGGTATTATTAATATCCTGTTAAGAGCTTAAGAGGCCTTTAAGGTTATACTGTTCATAAACTTTATTTACTATAAAGTACTAGTTTAAACTAAGGCCTCTATATCCACACCCTCTAAATGATGAAGCCTCATTTTGTAACTGTAATGCTAAGTATAATTATGATACTAAGGGTAATTTTCACCCACTACAAATCCATTGCTCAGTTCCAAGCCTACTGGAAGACCCTTGATGAATGGTTCTCGCCATTCCTCTCCTTTTTGCAGGGCAAGGGCCTCCTCAATGTCCTTATACATCTCATAACTGATCTGGTAAGCAGGTATCTTGTACTTGAACACAACAAGAAGAAATCCTTACCTGTTCATCTCCTCAATTGTCAGCTTGTTCTTCTCATCCTCCACTATGTACGCCGACATATCTGTGTTGCTTGAGAATCCTGTTGGTCAGTGAATGAACAGCCATGCCCTCAGGGATCAATAGGCACTTACCAATGCGCTCATTGATGTTGTACACTGCCCGGGCTGCAGCAGACTACACACGCGTGGCCCGCGGCAGCCACACCGTCTAGTAAACCTCAAGGGTGCGAGCAACGTCGCCGCTGAAATAGTTCTTGTTAAACAGGATCCCAGGGCTGCGGCGTCCTCAATGGCCATGCAGGCGCCCTGGCTTTGGTGCGGCATCATCTACAAAATGTCAGTCCCGAGGGGAGGAGGTTTTCAGGGGAAAAGGAGAGAGCAGCATACCGGGTGGCCGGCGTCACCCAGTAGACAGATAGGGCCTTTTGCAATATACGGATACGGCTCGCTGAAATCATTGATTAACTCTGAAAAAGAAAAAGGGGGGGAGGAGGGTCATACTGCACCCATAGGCGCCACGGGCGGATCTCCTTGCCGTCTATAGGGCAAATCTCATATTTTAGATACTTCCTAAACCTTCATATTTTTTCTTTATTTTGAAATATGATAATTCGTTCTTAGAGAGGATTTTAAAAATATAGTCCTCTTTTTAATAGGCTTAAAGGTAGTGGAGTTATAAGGGGTTAAAGATATTATAGAAACCTTAATCTAATTAGTATAAAACTCTTATACTAAACCTAATTAAGGTTTTTATAATATTTTTAATATTTTAATAATTAGAGAGGCTATAGACCTTAGCTAAGCTTCTAAAAAAAGCTTATTCTCTATATAATTATCTATTTTTACTATAGGTTAAATAAGGAATATTAAGGTAGTATAATTATAGGTTAAAATCTTTACTATTTATATATATATATAGCTATATACTATTATAGAGTTTAGGGTAGGATAATTCTATTATTTTTAGTTTTTATAATTTCCTTATTAATTTTTCCTCTACCTCTAGCCTCTATTATTAAATATCTATATCTAGAGGGATATCTATATTTAGATAGATATCTATATTTAAATAGATATCTATATCTAGATAGATATCTTTATCTAGATATCTATATCTATATAGACATCTAGATATATCTAGATAAATGTCTATATCTAGATAGATGTCTATATCTAGATAGACATCTATATCTAGATAGACGTCTATATCTAGATAGACATCTATATCTAGATAAATATCTATATTAAGATAGATATAGATACCTAAATAGATGTCTAAATGGATATCTATATCTAGATAGACATCTATGTCTAGATAGATGTTTATATTAAGATAAATATCTATATCTAAATAGATGTCTATGTCTAAATAGACGTCTGTGTCTAAATAAATGTCTATATCTAAATAGATGTCTATATCTAATAGACGTCTATGTCTAAATAGATGTCTATATTAAGATAAATATAGATACTCTATAGGGCAAATCTCATATTTTAGATACTTCCTAAACCTTCATATTTTTTCTTTATTTTGAAATATGATAATTTATTTTTTAAGAGGATTTCAAAAATATAGTCCTTTTTTTTATAGGCCTAAAGGTGGTGAAGTTATAAGAGGTTAAAGATGTTATAAAAACCTTAATTTAATTAGTATAAAACTCTTATACTAAACCTAATTAAGGTTTCTATAATATCTTTAATATCTTAATAACTAGAGGGGCTATAGACCTTAGCTAAGCTTCTAAAGAAAACTTATTCTCTATATAGTTATCTATTCTTACTATAGATTAAATAAGGAATATTAAGGTAGTATAGTTATAGGTTAAAATCTCTACTATTTATATATATATATAGCTATATACTATTATGGAGTTTAGGGCAGGATAATTCTACTATTTTTAGTTTTTATAGTTTTCTTATTAGTTTTTCCTCTGCCTTTAGCCTCTATTATTAAATATCTATATCTAGAGGGATGTCTATGTCTAGATAGATATCTATATCTAGATAGATATCTTTATCTAGATATCTATATCTATATAGATATTTATATCTAAATAGATATTTATATCTAAATAGATGTCTATATCTAAATAAATATCTATATCTAGATGAATGTCTATATCTAGATAGACATCCATATCTAGATAGACATCTATATCTAGATGGATGTTTATATTAAGATAGATATAGATACCTAGATAGATGTCTAGATAGATGTCCATGTCTAGATAGATATCTATATCTAGATAGATATTTATATTAATATCTATATCTAGATAAATATCTATATCTAGATAGATGTCTATGTCTAGATGGATGTTTATGTCTAGATGGACATTTATATCTAGATAAATGTCTATATCTAGATAGATATCTATATCTAGATAGATGTCTATATTAATATTTATATCTAGATAGATATCCATATCTAGATGGATGTCTATATCTAGATGAATGTCCATATCTAGATGAACATCTATATCTAGATAAATGTCTATATCTAATAGATGTCCATATCTAAATGGACATCTATATCTAATAGATGTCTATATCTAAATAGATGTCTATATCTAATAGACGTCTGTGTCTAGATAGATATCTATATCTAGATATCTATATCTAGATTTATATCTATATCTAGATTAATATCTAGGTGAATATCTATGTCTAGATAGACTTCTATATCTAGATATATATTATTTATTTATATAGATATTTTATCTATGACGGCCCTAAGCTAATAAATAATTAATTAGTGGCTTCAATACTGAAATATTTAAATAAAGAGGGGAAAGAGAAGAGGAGAGAGAGATATATTATAAGATATATTTAATATCTCTCTCCCCTTTCCTGCGCTAAGTTAAAATAGGAATAGTAGCCCTATTTATTATAGCCTACTTAAGATATCTAAATAACCTTATTATTATTATAATATTATCTCCTTATTTAGCCTTTAATTCTCCTATAAATCTATATTTAACACTCTTATGCCCATAAGGGCACTATAGCTCTTTTAATACTCTATCTTATACTATAGCCTATTACTTATAACTTTACTTTACTTAGCCCCTTCTATTCCTAAGAAGAGTTTATCTTATAATATTCTAAGAATAATAAAGTGGCTACTCTATTTAGATATTATTTATAAAAGATTACCTATTTACTAATCCCTCTCTTTTTATAAGTCTACCTCTTTTTATACTTTTAATTAGTATCTTATTATTATTATCTTTTATTAAGGGTCTTATAATATCTAAATAATACTTAGGGATTATTATTTAGTCTCACTATATTTTTTATTATTAATATAATCTAGTAGTTAGATATTATAATAGAATCACTAGATAATTAAAGTATTATTTAACTACTATTAATTATATAAGAATTAGGATTAGTTAGTTTAAATATTATATAATAGCCCTAAATAAATAAATAATTAATTAATAGCTTTAATACTAGAATATTTAAATAAAGAGGGGAAATAGAAGAGGAGAGAGAGAGATATATTATAAAAATATCCCTTTTTTATTTCTTATACTAAATTAAAATAAAAATAATAATCTTATTTATTATAACCTGCCTAAGGCATCTAGACAACCTTACTATTACTATAATATAAGTCTTTAATTAGATTAATATTAGTAGCTTTATAATAGGAGATATCTTATATTAGGTTATAATCTATAAGAAAGTCTAGTTCCCTATCTAGTATAGGGCGGCGGCCTAGTAGTTATAGTCTATATCTAGATAAATGTCTATATCTAGATAGATATTTATGTCTAGATAGATGTCTATGTCCAGATAGATATCTATATCTAAATAGATGTCCATATCTAGATAGATATTTATATTAATATTTATATCTAGATAGATGTTTATATCTAGATGAACATCTGTGTCTAGATAAATATCTATATCTAGATGAATGTCTATATCTAGATGGATATCTATATTAATATCTATATCTAGATGAATATCTATGTCCAAATGGACATCTATATCCAGATGGATATCTATATCTTAATATATTTATATATCTAGGTGCGCCTAGATATAAAGTATCTACATAATATATAATTCTATATCTAATATAGATAGTTATAAGGATCCTATATATAAATAAGCCCTAAAAAGATGATAAAAAACTATATAATTAATATAGTCTAGATTTAATCTATATATAAGTAACCTTTATTAATTAGTTATGATTAATTATAATTATTAAAAACTCCTCTAGGATAGAGTAGTTATTCTTATTAATATTAGTTAACCCTTTAAATTTTAAAGGTGATAAATATATACTATATTAACTATAACTTTATTATCTAAATCCTATCTTTTAGATCTACTAGTAACTAGTCTAGAAGTAAGGGGTCTAGTAT